TTGGTCACCCCAACCAATTGGTGCCAACAAGCATCACCTTTTTCTGCTCTTCCCACCAATCAGTGCTGGAAGAATCCTCCGTAGGATTGCTGCCTTTTTGCAGCTGCTTGGCTCATCAGTGAAAGAGACAGAAAATAGAGATGCATCCTAGCATCAATTTGTCCCATTGATGTTTTGACATATGAACAACTAGAACACCCTGAATCCAACCAAGCCAACGGTCCACACTTCAGAAAACAAACAAAACCCAAGATTATGTTGGTCTTCAGGGAGTTCCACAATAATCTTCAAGTTTTCTTATATTGGATTAAAGGCTAAAAGAAGTAGAATTGATCACATATTATCTGGTCTGATCCTATCAGGTTCAAGGTGTGCTTAGGCCCTTCCTCCTTGTGTAGACAAACCCTGTGTCAAAGATGAGAAGTCATCTGCACACATTCAGAACCAATGCCTCCTCAGGTCCAGTTTTGGATCCTTTCCCAGATGATTCAGCTATCTCAAAGATTAGAACAAGATGCCACGATTTTAAGTTACAGTAGCATACATTTTGGGTGAACATTTGAAGAAACTGTCAGTGAGCGCTATTTTGCAATGAAACCAATTGCTTACGTGTTCTCATTCTCTGGGCACCTTCAAAAAGGGGTCTCTAACTGGAGACTTGGACTCCATGGTCTTAGGATGCCTTCCCATGCATCTATGACTAATAACAACCTCAGAAACATGTAGGGAACCCCTGCTGCATGAGATGAGAGGCAGCAGTGGTCTTTCTATGCTCACGTCCCTTCATGCCATTCCACCTGTGCTCCTTGCCTTGCCACATGTTTCACACCCTGTACTTGCTTCTTGGTGGTGGCATTGCCAGCAGGAACAACTGCCAGATTACCTTCCTACGTCCCATTTAAAAAGTAAGAAAGGATGCAAGGAAAAATAATAATGAAAAATATTTGAGGGAACTCAAAAAATCTTGAATAGGGGCTCATGAGCCATAGGTTATGAATGCACAATAAAGGATTTCTTTATTTCTTTATTTACTTCATTTCTACCCTGCCTTTGTCACCTGAAGGGATTCAAGGCAGCTTACAATTCCGGCAAAAATTCAATGTCGGTAAAAACCAGTATTATTAATAAAAATTAAACAGTTAAAAACGATTAACATTAAGCAATAATAAAATACATCAGTATACAAATTTAAAAAGCATATAAAGTGCATGGTTCAATTCGTAGATAATCCTGCTCATAATCTTTAATCCGGACTGTGTCGAAACCATGGAAACTTAATATTGGAATGCTTGTGCGCAGAGCCAAGTCTCCAGCTTTTTCCTAAAACCCAGATGGGATGGGGCCTGCCTGATGTCACTGGGGAGGGAGTTCCGCAGACGAGGGGCCACTGTGGAGAAGGCCCTGTCTCTTATCCCCATCAGTCGCCCTTGCGAAGAAGGTGGGACTGAGAGCAGGGCCTCCCCAGAAGATCTTAAAGTTCTAATAGGCTCATAAGACGAGATGTGTTTGGACAGATAAGTTGGACCAGAACCGTTTGGGGCTTTATAGGCCAAGACCAGTACTTTGAAGAAGACCAGCACTTTGAAGAAGCAGTCAGTTTGTGTTTTCATACTCTATCACAACTTTGCATGAAAAATTAGTGGCGTTCTGGTCCACTTCAAATGTTCCAAAATGAGCATTATATGTAAATTTGTTTGGATCTTTAAAAATAAAATCCAAACAAATGCAAGCATACAGAAACCCATCAAAATTTAATGATAAGCTGCTATTAATACATTATTGTTAGTTGTTATATGCATTTAAATTGTTTTTGATGGATGGTGACACTAAGGCCTGTCATGGAGTTTTCTTGGTAAATATTGCCTTTTTCTGAGGTTGAAAGACTGAGACTTGCCCAAGATTATGCAGTGTGTTTCTCTGGATGACATTGTATTTGAAGCCTCCAGAATCAGAGTCCAATGCTCAAACAACTACACAATGCTGGCTTTCTTTGTTTACTGTATTTCTATAAAAATGAATACAATACAATCTTAAAGGAATATTGTATTTTTAAGCACTTTGAGTTCCATCATTGGCAAAAACGCAGGACATAAATGAATGATAATGACAAAAACAAAAACATGTTATTGTTATGTAGATTTGTGGCTTACAATATTTTGGCAGGTCAGTCAGAGAAGTATGGTTTTCTTAAGATGACAAAATTCTCATTTAGGAACATATTCTGGCAATGCTAAGCAATAATGCAAAATCCAAGTCTTAACCTCTCCCAGCATGTAGAAATACTCCTGGAAGAAAACAATTACTTAATCATAAACATATTCTTTTCTCCCTTCTTCATTTATGATTTGAAAGAAAAATTATTAGCTGGAAAGGGGTTTTTGGTCTGCTGTCAGTGCACCTAAGCCAGTGAGTTATGTTTTGGGATGGTTATTCTTCTCAGAAGATGACAAAACTTCAGTAGTCAAAGCAAACCAAAAATAGCAACTGTACAGATAGGGAAGTATGGCTTTGACTATTTCCTCATTGCATGAGAGGATGAATAAGTAGTTTTCTCCCTCCTGTGGAAGAAAATGAGTATTCCTCCACTGTACTCTTTCTGCATTTTGTCTTGGAGTGCCTCGCTTAAAAAGGTGCTTATTGTACAGAAAACAGTGCTTTTTTGTGCAGGAAACCGATTTTCTGCACACAAGAAAGATTTCTTGCACAAAATCCCAATGTGTTTTTCTCTGCAGAATAATTCTTTCACATTTTGGACAGACATTTAAATGCCATTAAAATTGTGTAAAATTCATTTCTTTTGATCTGGTAACAAATACTTATAAATAATTATAAGCTATAACAATAATTAATTATAATTGAACAAGTTGTTTCCATCACAACACAAATGTATACATTTGCCCCCAGGAAGTTCATCTCTTTAAATATATTATATTCTACCCAACAAATTCTGTACTCAGCCCTACAGAATGCCTCATCACACTAGGTCAGTGGTTCTCAACCTGTGGGTCCCCAGGTGTTTTGAATCACAACTCCCAGAAATCCCATCCAGTTTACCAGCTGTTCGGATTTCTGGGAGTTGAAGGCCAAAACATCTGAGGATGCAGAGACTGAGAACCACTGCACTAGAGTTTAGATTCACTTTAAACCAGTGGTTCTCAACCTGGGGTCCCCAGATGTTTTTGGCCTTCAACTCCCAGAAATCCAGCTGGTAAACTGACTCGGATTTTTGGGAGTTGTAGGCCAAAAACATCTGAGGACCCCAGGTTGAGAACCACTGCTTTAAACCCATATGCTGCCTTCTTCAGAATTCTGAGGTTTGTAGTTTAGGAAGGGCTCAGGACCTGCCTGGCTGAGTAATTTAAAGGCCCTTCCCTAAATGACAAACCTCAGTATTCTTCAGGAGGCGGTAATCAGATTTAAAGTGGATCCATGCTCTAGTGTGATGAGATGGGAAATTATTGTTTCCTTTCAATGTTTTATGTTTTGTCTTATGTCTGTTATAACAGGCTGTGCTTTTATTTAATTTTAGTTGTTAATTTATAATTTATGTTTATATGTTGGGTTGTTTAAATTTTGTTATTATGGATGTATTGTTGTTGTATTCGGGCATTGAATGTTTGCCTTTTATGTTTGGAATCCGCCCCGAGTCCCTTCGGGGAGATAGAGCATAATATAAATAAAGGGTCATCATCATCATCATCATCATCATCATCATCATCATCATCATCATCTGTTTCCTGTTCTGTTGCATCCAGATATACATCATTACCAACAAGTACATTGGTTTTGGTCCCTAAGGTTCTTGCCCTTTCTTGTATGGTGCTGTACATTTAGGTCTCAACAATTCAAAGTTTGGGAGTTTTTAAGGTTTTTTTTGTCATTTTAGGGTGGTTTTTTGTCATGAAACTTCAACATTTTCATGCGCGCGCACACAAAATCTGTTGTGTCCAGATAGCCATATGGGTAAGTGTGAAATGTCTGGGTTTGTGCAAAACCTGCAGCAACTTTGCCCAAGCCGCTGCTCATCTCTGTATTTGGAACGGTCCCTCTCTTTTTTCTCAGTTTACCTTGAATGCCATACATTCATTTTACATGTCAAAACCAGTTAGCACATTATTAACTCAACAGGGGAGAACAGGGTAGACTCTTCCTCTTGCTTGGTAATTCAGGCAAAAAGCAAACTATATGTATACTTTTCTAGGAATGTTCTTCCTCATTAGTAACATGAGCCATCTTAGCTACACTCTGAGGTTTGCTGTCCACACAGGTTCCAGTTTTCGTTAGTTAAATATTGGTAGACATAGACTATAAACTATGCTTTAAGGAATGAATTATTTCAGAAATACAGTGTTGGGTACCTGCCAAGACAAAAAAAACCAACAAAAAACTAAAATGGTTTTCTTGGAGAAACACATTTCTTTATTTCTTACTGGGGGTCTGTCACCTACCACTTGAAAAAAATATTTCAAAGATAAATTTCTTTTTTTAGTTTTAGTGGTTATGGTGGGAAAGAGTGGTCAAGATCTATAATGAATTGTCAACCATTCCCATAAAATTCCACTTGAACTAAGGCAGACGTATTTGAAAATGATAAAGACAGAACTGTTTTTTAAAAAAGTAAACTAATTCCTTTCAGAAACATTCACAGTTGACAATGTAATACCCATGTCAGCCATGATTGGCAAGTATGAAGAAGTATGAGTTTCGAGAGGCACATGTTAATTATATAGGGGTTGATTCCTGAAATAGAAATGTTTACACAATACTAAGCATGGACCATTGTAAATCCCAATGAAAGCCTACCCCCACCGTTTCATCCCAGCTCATTAGGTGTGGATTATATTGTTTAGTGGGTTTCAGTAAAGGATGAGCCAGTGCAAGACGAACCAAACCCATGCATAGTTTAAATATCTTTCATTTCATTTGTTCAACCAAGCCCAGGTTCTGAAAGCCATATAAATGAAGGGGTCTTGGAGTGGATGATGAACTGTTCATCTCTTTCTCTCTCTCTCTCAGTCTCTAGGTTGCTGTCGACAACTGAATGCAATGAGTCGACAACTGAATGCAAAAGCTTTTGGTGGTGGGAAGAGATTTAGCGCTGGTTCTGCCATTGTTTTCGGAGGAGGAAGGAGTCAAAGGAGTATGGGAGGAGGAAGTGGAAGCTATGGTCTTAACAGTCAGAGCCTTTATAATCTTGGAGGAACGAAAAGTATTTCCCAGAGTGTGGTTCCAGGAGGCCTTCGACATGGAAGTGGATTTGGTGGTGGTGGTGTGCTTAGTTTAGGTGGCTTTGCTGCTGGTGGGCGGGCTAATGGCAGCTTTGTCAATGGAAGAAATGGGCTTAGCTCTTTTGCTTATCCATCGGGACATATCCAGGAAGTGACAGTTAACCAGAATCTCCTAGCACCACTTAACCTGGAAATTGATCCAAAAATCCAACAAGTGCGCAAGGAAGAGAGGGAGCAGATCAAACACCTTAATGACAAATTTGCATCTTTTATTGACAAGGTGGGCTATCGACATTTATAACTATTCTCATCTGCTTATTAAATTGTGAAAACTATAGTTTTTCAATTGTCCATGAAGAAACATTTCTCAATGTACATGCCCATAACCGTGCATCCTTATTTTTGATATGTTCACTTGTGTATTTGGTGTTATTTATTATGTTTTTAGCTTTGCTTGCTCTCCAATGCATTATCATTTTTATTCCACTAAGGGTTGTTGTGGTGACATAAAAGAGCTATATCAGTAGAATAATGTCAAACAAAAGCTAGAAGTCGTAAGGCAATCCATCAAATTCATATTTGAAGCTTGAATCTTTAGAATTCAAAATATTGAATTCACAAAGTCATTTAAAAAAATGCATGTGGTTATCTGCCTGCATCTGGATAAATATTTCCTCTCTGGATTTTTTTTTGTCCTCTAGCAAAAGTCAGTGGTAACTTCTGGCAGAAGTCATCCATTTTAATAGGTGTTTTATATTATCAACAGTTTTCGGTTTCCACAGTAAGTTTAGGAATGTATTTCCCACAAATATGAAGAGCCATGCTGTAGATTGGGAGAAAAGATATAAATCTTGTATTATTTTATTTTTATATGCAAGAAGAAAGAAATTTGAAAGTGCAGAGATTATCAGATTTGAATGCATTTTCTAACTTTATTTATTTATTTATTGCATTTTAGGATTTTTTTAAATGTGCACAAGAAATATATTGTAATTTACAAAATTACCCCCGAATTAATTTCCTAGAGATCCAGTGGGGTAGCTGCCCAATCCATCTGGGGAGCGAAACTGCAACACATCATCACCTGGGTACTATTAAGAGGAGCAGAATTGCCCTTCCTGTGTCTGTAGAAGTAGAAAGGAGAGGGCATTCTGGTTGTTTTTAAAGCCATATCCAAAACAATGGCATTATCTTCCAGGACCTCTGTCAGTCCTGCAAGACACCTTAGTTATTCTCCATCTGGCTAAAGGGACAGAATCAGATACTCTTCTGAAACCCGCTGCTTCCCATCATCCATTAAATGGCAGAGAAGGGGGTAAAAAAAAGTATTATTTTTAGTAGGCTGGACATGGGTGCTTAATTGGATCATAGGCTTATGATTACAAACAAACATATAGAGGCATATGATAGACCTATATCTGAATAGATCACTAACAGGACACAAATCCACATTTTAAAAAATATATTGCTTAAAGGTCTCAGCGGTGGCCAGGGGAGCTTTTGTGCCAGCTGCACCCATACCTTGGGAAGTCTGACTTGGCCATGGTGGTCCACGCTCTGGGTACATCCCATATAGACTACTGCAACACTCTCTATGTGGGGTTGCCTTTGAAGACTGCCTGGAAGCTGCAATTAGTCCAGAGCTTGGCAGCCAGGCTACTGATGGGAGCAGGGTACACCAGCTCCAGTAGCTGCCAATTAGCTTCCGAGCACAATTCAAAGTGCTGGTTTTAACCTTTAAATCCCTATACGTTTCCAGCCCAGTTTACCTGTCCGAACGTATTCTCCCCTATGAACCATCAAGGACACTAAGATCTTTTGGAGAGACCCTACTCTCAGTCCTGCAAACTTCGCAAGAGTGTCTGGTGGGGACGAGAGACAGGGCCTTCTCTGTGGTGGCCCCTCAGCTATAGAACTCTCTCCCGAGTGAGATCAGATCTGCCCCCTCCCTCTTGTCCTTCAGGAGGCTTGTGAAGTCCTGGCTATGGAATGAAGCGTTCCCAGAATAATGGCTGAAACCGGTTAAGTACCAAAGTGAGTGGTGACCACATATGCGGATTGAGTTGAACTTGATTTTATCTTGGCAATTTGGCTTATATGTATTTTTCTATATGTATTTCAATCTTGTATTATTGTTGTTTGATATTTTAGTTTGTATTAGTAGCATTGAATCTTTGCTGTATGCCGGTCTGAGTCCCTCTACGGAGGTGAGAAGATCGGGATATAAAAGTTTTAAATGAATAAAATAAATAAATAAAAATGTGACATAAAATGCAACAAATGTATATACATTAGAAAAATGCTTACAAACACAGGAAGTGGGGGAAATGCATATAGGTATGTGTGTACAGATTGGAATGGGAAAGTAGACAAGTCTCATAACCTAATATGAAAAATAGAGAGCAGGTTTCAAATGCCGGGGAAAATGGAGAAAACTCCACAAGAATGGGATGGGAGATTTTCACCTCTCTGTTTATCATTGTTTGGATTCCCAGGTTCGATTCCTGGAGCAACAAAATAAAATCTTAGAGACCAAGCTGAACTTTCTGCAACAACAGCCCATTTCCCACCTAAAGAGAAAGGATGGCCATCTCCTTGAAGCCTACATTCATGGCCTGAGAAAGCAGCTGGAGTCTCTGAGCAATGACAGAGGAAGGCTGGGCTCAGAACTGAAGCATATGCAGGATGTGGTCGAAGATTTTAAGAAACGGTACCTGAGAAAACAACATAGCAAAGTTCTTCCTACCTGGAGTAAAATTCTGATTTCATTGCAGGAAATGAGGTTTAAGGTTTAAGACACCTTAATGAGGACCAGGGACAAAAACCTACCCAGACTTTCCCATGGACTGCCCCCACCCCTAAGCATGCCACTTTGCCTGTTTTTATCAACAAGGCATTTCAAAATGACAATCCAGAAGTGATTCTGTATCCCATGTATCCCATGAATTGCTTCAAAGTAAACACCATCTTCACAAATAGAATTTTTGTAAGGACTGTGACAGAGAAGGAAAGAGTTAAATCTCCTGAGTCCCACGCTGCTAGTTGTTTTAGATATAATGTATAGATGGGCCCTTGGTTGAGCATAGCCAACCTGCCAACAATCACAGTACCTGAAGCAATGTAAATATTGACATGTAATCTTAGTAGGCTTGTGAAAAGTATATAGGAAGGATGGCATGCCTTAGGTATCTGGGACCAAGGCCATATCCATGGGCTCATCATAATCCCTGTCCTTTTTTTTCAAATTTCAAAAGGTATGAGGAAGAAATCAACAAGCGCACAACTGCTGAGAATGAATTTGTCCTGTTGAAAAAGGCAAGATTTTTTAAAGTTACTTACTTCATATAATAAAGGTAGATCGAATTGAATGCAAATGTGTGTGAGAGACACAATAGGCAAATCTGGAGAGTCTAGAGATATTAGATATGAAGAGCCAGTACTAGGTTTGTGGACACCTAAGCCAAATTTGGAGCCCCCGGTGGCGCAGTGGGTTAAAGCACCGAGCTGCTGAGCTTGTTGATCGAAAGGTCGCAGGTTCGATTCCGGGGAGCGGCGTGAGCTTCCGCTGTCAGCCCTAGCTTCTGCCAACCTAGCAGTTCGAAAACATGCAAATGTGAGTAGATCAATAGGTACCGCTCCGGCGGGAAGGTAACAGCGCTCCATGCAGTCATGCCGGCCACATGACCTTGGAGGTGTCTACGGACAACGCTGGCTCTTCGGCTTAGAAATGGAGATGAGCACCACACTCCAGAGTCAGACATGACTGGACTTAATGTCAGGGGAAGCCAAATTCAGTTTTGGAAGACCTCCATTTATTAAGGCCCTTTCCACACTGGCCCTATATCCTAGGATCTGATCCTAGATTATCTGGTAGTGGAGTCTCATATAATTCACTTTAAAGCAGATAATCTGGCATCAGATCCAGGGATATATGGCAGTGTAGATGGGGCCATAAAAACACATCAAGTGGGCTTGCTGACCCATGGTGCTGGTAGAAGGAGGCGGGTCGTCCTCCTTACACTGAAAAGCTGAAACAGTGTTGTAGGGGGCAGTTGTACTGAAAGCATTGTGAAACTCAGAGTCAGGACAGATTAATTTTTCCTCTTGCTTTGCCTAAGAAAGTGTCAGCACCTTGTAGAACAAGGGAGAAAGGAGTCTTTGAAGATCAGGAAAGACAGGATAATTGCTCCTATTTTAGGGTGTGCATGCGCATTGTCCATTGAGGGCAACAGTTCATTTATTGTAGGAACCCTGTGTCAGTCAGCTAAGGAACATGAACTTTTAAATTGCTTCACCCCCACCCACCTTAAATTATTGTTTTTGTGACCCAGTGCTTTTGGCTCCATCTCCATGGCCCTATAGTGCAGTTTGAAACCATGGTGGAAGTTTCTCTTTGAGAGGCTTTTAAACAGGGGCTGGATACCCATCTATTAGGGGGTGCTTTGCTAGTTTGTTTCCTTCATGGCAGGGGGTTGGACTGAATGGCCTCTATGGTCTCTTCTGATTCTCTGATTCTCTGATCAGTGCAGACTCATATCATCATCCAGTTTAACTGTATTATACGAGTCTACACCAACCATATAATGCAGTTTCAAACCTAAATTACCATGGGAATTGAGTTGACCAAGGCTTTGGAATTGCTATAGGGAATACATGGACGATGTGTCCAGACTGAATCTTGCTCTTCCTTAAGAAATTATAAGAGCTTTCCTTTTTTTTTTGTGCAGCTCCTTGGGCACATGTAATATACACCTATTACAGGGATGCCCAATGGTGCCTTGTTTGAGATTGCTAATTTAGACAGTTCCAGGGCCCAGATCCTACAAATGAATTTGTTCATTTTGGGGACAAAATCTGGAGTGTGTAAACATGATTCAAGGTGGTGGGGTGTGTCTTGCTACTCACTCCCACTGATTAAATCCACAAGCATAAACCAGAACTTTGAAATAATTCAAATGAACTGCATCTTCCAGGGCAATTCCTTTTCTAAAACAATACAATGAGTGGCACAGTTGGTGTTTTGAATCAGAAATAAACTCAGTGCAGTGTTTTGGTTCATAATATCTTGCTGGACAACATGATGCAACATGACTGAGCAGGAAATGTTATGGATGTACTTCCCATGTGGAACTTTTACTTAAGCATTTGAAATAAGGCTGCTGCACTTCCTGATACGTACCTTTGTTGTTTAACATTGTGTTGCTATGTTATGTCATGTAACATCTTGTTCCTCTGCAGGATTATTCTGATCTGAACAGCAGCCTTGTAGTGTGTGTCCAATGTGTGCCTATTAGTTACTGTTAAACAAAAATCCTTTGCTGATCTGAGCATAAAATACTCTATGCTTCATTAGTAAGAAGGGTGCACTTTAGAATTAATGAAGTTCATAATCACATTAATTGTCATGGCTCAATGATATGAAATCTTAGGAATCATAGTTTTACACGGCCTTTAGCATTCTCTGCCAAAGAGAATTTGTCTCTTACCAAACTACAACTCCCTTGATTCTATAGAATTGAGCAATTGCAGTTAATGTGGTGCTAAAATGCAGTGATTCTATAGTGTAGATATACCTAAGGCACAGATCTCTCCTCAGCAACCTAGTAATAATGAACATGATAAAAATTAGAATGGATTACCATTCTTTCCCCTGGAACAAATGAAGTAAACATTCTTCCTAAAGAATACAAACCAATCACGCTAACTAGTTACTCTAAAACAGTTGTATTTGAACTTTAGCATCTCATTGGTAACTTGTAATGCTGTAGTTCTGGGAAATATGTAGGCACTCTCTAGCAAGAAATTCCAAATGCTGAAACCAACTAAAAATCTCAAATTTCCACTTTGGGAGAGTCTTGGTAATTAACATGGTATCAAATGCCTACAACTGTATGATGCAGACACACTTTTAATCATGTGCTAAGATAACATATTTAATGACAAACAAGATATGTTACCATCAGAATTCTTGTTCCGAAACATTTGGTGGACTCTGATATATGCAGATTTGTTTTGATTTAAACCTGAGAGCATAGGCTAGACATGTGTATTAAATAAGGAGCGTGAAATGTGAAAATACTGGGTGTGTTGGTAGCACTGGGAAGAAGAAGAGGGCGACAGAATGGGGAATATGTGTTATTTGTGCACATGTACAATACATATAAAAATACACTGAGTTGGAGTTTTATTTGGTTTTTCCTCAGGATGTAGATTTAGCATATATGAACAAGGTGGAGCTGGAGGCCAGGACAGCTTCTCTGGTTAAGGAGGTCAATTTCCTGAGATCCTTGTATGAGGAGGTAAGAATGAGTCCCTAGTTCCCTAAAGACCACCTGAAAATCCCTAATAGATTCTCAGAAACCATCTCCATTTTTATAGCAGAGCTTTAGAATCTAGTATTTCCTGATGTTGGGTTTCCTCTTTCTTGGTCCCCATCTAAAATGAGATGGGATGAGAGCAATCCAACATCAATAGGGCCACAGGGTGTTTACAAATGCTTTTTTGATCTGCAAAGAATAACTCTAGGCATAGGGGACTGGAATCCTATGGTTGCAACCAAATGTGAGGATCTCAGTTTACATCTCCCTGATACTTCTTCCAAATGTGGGAGTTTCCACTTTTTATCTGTGGTTCTCAACCTTTCTTGCACAACATTCGTATGCAACATGTTTGGGATTTTTCTCTCAAGCAATCCCACTACTGATGCATTACTGAACTTCCCACAGATATATGGAATTATGAATAATAATGAACCATATTATTCTCAATGAGACAAATGATAGTGGTACTGAGATGAGGGTGAAGCTTGTATAGAAAATTAATTACTGAGCAAGTGAAACTGTGGATAAGCAAAACAGTGAATAAAGATTCCTTGTGACTTACAGGAGCAGGCACAGATGCAAAGACAGGTAAATGACACAAGCATCATCCTCTCCATGGACAACAATCGAGATCTGGATGTGGATGATATCATCACTGAAGTCAAAGCTCAGTATGAAGATATGGCCAATAGGAGTCGAGCCGAAGTAGATGCCATGTACCAAAACAAGGTGTGTATATTCCTACCTTTGACCTGGTGCTTCAAACAACAAAATATTTCAAGCCTTTTCTTTTTAATTCACAAATTCAAAACCGGGAATGACAGATTAGTTCTTTCCTCCCAAAAAAGTTATATACTTCCTTATCAAAAATGCTGCCATGAAAGAGTATACAGGCTTGCCACTTAGGACATATAAACATAAAATCTTAAAATGGTAGGTAGGTAGACTTGGTGATGGATTTGGCCATAAGACCTGGCAGTTGTTGATTTGAGCTGTAATCAGTTTCAGGAACTTCAGCTTACAGCTGGGAAGCATGATGATGCCTTGAAAAACTCCAAGATGGAAATTTCGGAACTGAATCGATTGATCCATAGGCTGAGAGCAGAGACAGACACTGTGAAGAAACAGGTAAGGTGCACTCTTCTAGTGGAGATATACATAAAAAGCTCTATTTTTATATTTGGTTATCACTCCTGCGTTACTACAAGAATATGTTTAGAAAATGTTTGGAATAGTCTGGAAGTTTATTTTTAACAGAGCAATCATGGTGCTAATTAATGAAATAGAAACTTAAGTGGAGACATCACATCTTGTCAGTTTTTTCTAGCACTGTTTTAATGACAAAAATGTTCTCAGTGAAACTAAGCACTCCTTAATTTGAAAATGAGAATGAACACATTCCATTCATTCTCACTTGCAAACTAAACAGTGATTCTATTCATTTTCATTATTTTCTTCATACTCCACCCATCCAAATATAACTAACCATTCTAAATTCTGTGACTTTCATAATTCCATCTTCTTGCTAAACAATTAACCTGCCATTATTCTAAATTATTTCCCCCTTTCCTCCAAATCACTATTCTTTCCCATTTTGGCATCTACCTTTTAAGAATAATTATTGTTTTACAAACTGTTGTAATATGTGGTTGCTTCACAATTATTTGAACTCTTTCAATATGGTTGGAAACATTTCAGCTTTCAGATATTTTGACTTAACCCCCCCCCCCCCAATCATGATGGGGAATGACAAGGGACCCTGGGAGCCATATGGCTAAACCAATGGAGAATCAGAAGCTGTCCAATCCTGTTTTACATCTTGGTCCTATGTACATTTACACAGAAACAAATCCGCTGATTTATATTCACCTTACTCCTTAGCCTATGAAATATACATATAGAGTTATGGTAGCTTTTGTTAATAAAACATTCATTTAAGAAAACCATATGGATTCCTAAATTACATAGATTTGTTTTGCTTGTTTTGTAACAAAAACACCTGATAGTTAAATGTATAATCATGGAACCCAATCCTTTATGCAAATCATTTGAAAGCAGAATTAAATCTTTAAAATACTTGTGGGATTTTCTTAGCTTGTTTCATATTATGGTCAAAAAGCCCTGATGTAAACATCTGAGTTGATTTCTGTTCTTTGGTAGTGTGCTTATCTTCAGTCATCTATTGTTGACACTGAAGAACGTGGAGAGAGAGCACTTAAAGATGCCAGAGAAAAATTGACTGAATTGGAAAACGCAATACAGAAATCTAAGGAAGAGTTGACCCATCTTTTGAGGGATTACCAGGAACTTTTGAATATTAAGCTGTCACTTGACATTGAAATTGCCACTTACCGGACACTCCTGGAAGGCGAGGAATGCAGGTAGGCACCATGGAACCCAAGACGATTGTTGCAGTTGGGTCCCTGGCACTATTGATCTGGTATTCATTCAGTTCACAGCCAGCCAGAGGTAGTGATTTCAGTTTTGGACTATTAGTCCATCTAAATGGACCACATATGGTAATGCTTATCTGGAGTAAGGCATCTCCAAAGGCCACAAAGTCAGACACCAAGCTTTCTCAGTGTAGACAGCTTGTGTCTACACTGGCCCAGCAACTGTGTCACAGCTGCACACTGCTAGTCTGCCACTATTACCTTCCCCTTCTTCTCATATTCATGCCTGTTCACATGTCTGTCCTGCTTTCCCTGGCTGTGGGAGAAGGTAGAGAGAAAAGAGAAATCCCTCCTTTCTTTCACCCCGTCTTCTCCAATCAGCCCTCTTTTTTGATGCAACAAGGGATCACCATTTCCGGCTTTATGTCTGATGTCCACTTCTAAGCCCAGGGGAAAAGGTGGAAGAAAAGTGCCAACTCCTGTTCCTGGGCTATCAGATCCCCAGGAAAGGGGGATGGCCATGTGAACAAGGGGAAGTGGCTGAATTGTTCACACTGCAACAAAACCAGCACTGGGGTCTCCTGAAATAATAAACTACCATGTATTCTGGCATATAAGATTATTTTTTAATCCAAGAAAATCTTCTCAAAAGTCAGGGATCATCTTATAAGTGGGAGTAGTCTTATAAGCAGGATTCGTCTTATATGCTGGAGTAGCCTTATGCATGGGAGTCGTCTTATATGTTGGAGTAGTCTTATACGCTGGGAGTCTTATAGAGTGGGTACTGAAACTTCCAATCCAGATTGGAAATCTGTGGTTGCTGCGTATTGTGGGGGGACCTCAAAAATGGCAGTGGCCGCATCCCTGCCATATGCAGAGACTGTATGAAAGCATTAAGGGTGACACTGTACAAGTACAGTAGAAGAAAATCCATTCATCAGGATTCGTGCACTTAATGTGATCCCGATGGTGAGGTGAAAGGGCCCCTTCTTTGTCTTCTACCAGCACCATGGGTCAGCAAGCCTTCTTTGTCTTCAATGCTAAAATCCAGGGTTCTGTCATGATACACAAGTATAGTGCTAGGACCTGCTTTTAAATGCCAATGCTGCTTGTGTGGAATCCCAGTCACTGTAGTTTGGTGAGGCACTGAAAGACTTTCTGGCTTAGAAGAAATGCCCACCCATAAGTTAGGAATGCTCACGTTACAAAGAATGTTGCCATGACAGTTAAAGTGTCATCGAAGTTCTATATGTCTATAGTATGGTGGAATATTGTATCTGGGTTGCTGTGAGTTTTCTGGGTTGTATGGCCATGTTCCAGAAGCATTCCCTCCTGATGTTTCACCCACATCTATGGCAGAGATCCTCAGTGGTTGTGAGGTTTATTGGAAACTAGGCAAGTGTGGTTTATGCGTTGTATCTATCTGTTCCATGTAAGCTGTTAAAGGTGCCCGCTGGAAAAAAGAATTGTGTACCACAAATGTGGCTGAATACATAAGAGCTGGAATCAGATTTTTGAGTTCTAACTACATTGGGCTTTTAGCTGGAGTTTAGTTCTAGAACCCACTGTTGCTATCAAAATCTGTGTGTGCTCTATATACAATACCACAGGAAAATGGTGTCCCTTGCATAAAATGGCAAAATTATGCTTTGCTTTTTGGATTAAAAATATTTTCAAGCCATGGATGCTTGGCCCCTGGATACAGAAGCTGTGGATACAAAGGACCAATTGTTTTCTCAGTTACTTTTACTTCCAGATTCAGTGTTTTAGTATCTTAGATTTGTTGGGATTAGGATGCATTCTGCAAAGTACTCACAATGTGGTCAGATACTGAACCACTAGTTTTTCTAATAGGGAAATGATACACACACACATTTAACTGAACATGTCAAGGGGTATGTGGAGGACATATAATAAACCCAATCTAGGAATTGGCAAGCACAAGATGGTATCAACTTTTTGAGGACTTGTATAGGACTGTGCATTAGATGTGGCTAATGTAATAATATATGGAAGACTATCTTAAAACAGAGTAAGATGAGGAGTTCCCAACCATTCACTTTTATTTTCTCTAACAGGATGTCAGAAGAATGTGGAGGTGCTGTAAACATATGTAAGTAACTGAAGGTTTTGAGTTGGACTTTTGGTTTTGCAAAACTGCATGCTGCTGAACCCTCCCCTTGTTTGAAAACTGTAGAACTCCAATTCTGGCAAAGATGTACGTGGCTCCACCTTGAGTGTTCACCACAAAGGATATCTAGGTTTTTATCACTAGATATAGTGTCTTCTAGTGGTAGCACCAATGTTATGGAGCTCTTTTCCTCAAGTGCTACATTAAGTTATTTCCAGCATTTTTTGTTTTGTTTTCAGCCTTTTAAAACTAGAAGGGTAGGCATGGGATTTTTCTAGGTTGTTCTTATTGCTCTGTTCTTAGATTTTAGATATTGAATGACAAAAGATCCCCCATGACCTTCTTACAAGTAAACTAGTCAAATGTGGGCTAGGCAATGCTACTATTAGGTGGATCTGTAATTGTTTAAGTGACCAAACCTACCAATGGTCCTCACCAATGGTTCCACTTCATCCTGAAAAGAAGTGACTAGTGGAGTGCCACAGGGTTCTGTGCTGGGGCCAGTACTGTTGAACAGTACTGTTTATTAACATCTTTATTAATTGCTTGGATGAAGGTTTAGAGCAGTGGTTCTCAATCTGGGGTCCCCAGATGTTTTTGGCCTTCAACTCCCAGAAATCCTAAGAGCTGGTAAACTGGCTAGGATTTCTGGGAGTTGTAGGCCAAAAACATCTGGGGACCACCAGTTGAGAACCACTGGTTTAGAGGGCAAGTTTGCAGATGACACCAAATTAGGAGGAACAGCTAATACTCCAGAGGACAGAATCAGAATTCAAAATGACTGAGACAGATTAGAAAGCTGGGCCAAAACTAACAAAATTAATTTCAACGAGAACAAATGTAAGATACTACATTTAGGCAGAAAAAAATGAAATACAATGATACAGAATGGGTGATGTCTGGTTCGACAACACTTCATGTGAAAAATATCTTTGTGGACAACAAGTTGAACAGTGTGCAGCAGCTTAAAAAGCCAATGGGATTTTGGGCTGCATCAAAAAGAGTATAGTGTCTATATCGAGGGAAGTCATGGTGCCTTTGTATTATGCTTTGGTCAGACCTCACCTGAAATACTGTGTCAATTCTGGGCATCACAGTTTAAAAGAGATATTGACAAGCTGGAAGGTTTCCAGAGGAGGGCAATTTAAATGATCAAAGTCTGGAAACCATGCCCTGTGAGGGGCATCTTAAAGAACTGAGCATATTTAGCTTGCAGAAGTGAAGGCTGAGAAGAGACATGAAAGCCATGTATAAATATGTGAAAGGAAGAGGGAACAGGCTTGTTTTCTGCCTCCCTTGAAGCTAGGACTAGAAGCAATGGGTTCAAATTACAGGAAAGAAGATTCCACCTGAACATTAGGAAGAACTTCCTGACCATACAAGCTGTTCAACAGTTGAACCCTCTGCCTCAGAATGTGGTAGAAGCTCCTTACTTGGAAACTTTTAAACAGAGGCTGGATGTCCATCCGTCAGGCATACTTTGGATATGCTTTTCTTACATGGCAGGGTGTTGGACTAGATGGCCCAACTCTATGATTCTGTGATTTTGTGATTCTAGGACTCATGAGGAGGGGATGGAAAACCGGAAGCCTATTTTAAGGCTAACTGAATAGAATAATTCAAAACAACTCGCCAGCCTGTCCTGAATAGGAGGCCTTTTTGCATATCTTTCTTCTGCATTCCATGTCTATATTCCAGAGTTTAACAAAACCAGCATCTCATGTGGATTCTTCCAAAAGCAATGCTTTATTATAGTTACAATAATTACATATGTGCATTTTTTCTTTGTTTTTTACAGCTGTAGTTAACAACAGTGGCACGGTTGGAGGAAATGGCCTAGGCCGTGTTGCGAGACTGAGTGGAGGAGGAGGAAGTACAAGTTCTGGAAGTAGCAAGGGTATTGTGGGATATAGTTCTGGAGGTGGAGGAAGCAGTCCTGGCCTGAAAATTATATCGACAACTTCTACAAGCAAAAGGACAACAATAAGATGAACCATAAACAAAATTCCCTAAAAGATCAAATTGATCACTTACAAATATTTGAGGGTTGCAAACACTAAATGTCTGCTGTGGAAAAACTTGCCCTTTGTGTGATTGATTGTGTTTTTAATGGCTTCATAGAGATCACATTCTTTTAGCCAGTGAATTGGACAACAGTAACAACAACTAGCAAATTATCAAGAAAGAATAATGTCTGAGGGACATTTTAATTTAACATTTCTGCCATTTAAATGTCATGGACCTATATGACCTAAACCCTTTGAAATATAGCAAAGAACGGTGCACTGAAGAAACCTCTGCTAGTATCCATAGTCACCATGGAAAAGGAGATAACAGTTTCAGCAGTCCATGCACAGTATGTGTTGAGCTTGCAAGTATGTTTTTCGTTTTCTGTTTCATGCTGTAATGGTTGAGACATGGATGCGGGCTTTTTTAATGCAGCAGCAAAACAAGGCATCCAATCACAATTCTCATTACCACTAAGCATTTGCCTTTATCTGTATTTTGCACATATCCTTCTCCCTGAAATTCACCTATGGTTTGTTCCTGATTCAATTATTTTTAAAATGAAAAAGGATCAATTATTTTCTTTGTTATTGTTTTTCCCAAAGGCCCCTTCCTTTCACTGCACCATTTTAGCACTATGAATCCTGAGATGGTGACCTGCTCTACTATATCCACACTATATCTGACTTTTTAGAATTTGAAATTTAAAAAAAATCAAAAAAAAATTAACCACCAGTTTGAAAAAAAGAGAAAGCTCAGAGAGCAGGTGACATAAATGATCTCTGTTTGAGCAGTTCTTGAGCTATGCGCTGGGATGGATGGACAAAGAGTCTGATCTCATAGAAGATGGTGTCCTATATTTCTATATAAATGAAGTCCACATTATTAGGTTCCATCTACTCCTTATATGGGAGACAGATAGCATGGAAAAGCGTGAGGATCAACATCACACTAAGCTGTACAGAAAAGTCTGAAAATGTTAGTTAAGGCTAAGAAGATTATATTAAATTGTTAAAGACAGTGAATTAACATTAAAATGTTAAGAAACTATCATACATAAAATACATTCCTAGTTTTTAATTCATTAGTGGTTAATGCAAAAATACAAATTTCCAAAATGGATCAGAATTGTTGAAAAACTGAGCACATTACTCCTGGGTTTCTATGCAGAATTCCTTACCCTATTCCAAACAAATCCAAATACAAGCATTCACAGCACAATCACATAGCAACTCTTTAATTTTTCCCCTTAACTTTGAACAAGATTTGGTCTTACTATATGTGTGTGTGTGTGTGTGTGTGTGTGTGTGAGAGAGAGAGGCTCTAAACTTATAGTTAAAACTATTCACCAAAAAGGCTTACAAAAGAAAGACGAATGATTGTAATAAATTGGTTTTGTATTGATAAGGGACTCTCCACATCAACGAAGTTGGTGGGGGGAGCGATTTGCCCCTCCCCCGAAATGATTGAGAATGAGTGGTTCCAGTGGAACCACCTGGAAGGAGGGCGGAGGCTGGCTGAGCTATTTGACCAGCCTCCGTCCTCAGTCTAAGGCGAGACTTCAACCCACCACTTCCGCCCACTGACAGTATAATATTTGGTTGCCTGCTGGAGCCGGGTAGAATTTTTTTGCCCCCTATGTTCTGGGTTTTTTTTTGCCTACCCTATACTGTTATTAGGGGCTAGCTGGGATGGTGGATTTAAATAGGCTAGCATAAACAAACAGTAAAAACAGTAGAAACAGCAGTGGTTCCATACAACATATAACAATTGACTTAACACATTATCCATAAATTACCAATAAGCAGTTACAATGCACAATTATTACAAAAAACAACCGTACCCAATCTTCTCATCATCCAAGCGTAGTCCAGGTTCGTCGTCCCTTGTTCCATTCCTATGTTCCATTACCAGATTGCACTAAATTACTCAAACGCCTGCACAAACATCCAGGTCTTCACCTTTTTGTGGAATACTTTTACCTTTGAGGTTGCCTGGTTGGGGATCCAGGGCACACGGTATTACACACTAAATAGCCGAGGAAGCTGCCTCGGTTGGCCACCAAGTTCCTAGACACATAGTTTAGTTCAGTTAAAGTTAAATAGGTAACATTTAATAAAATTGCCCAAATTTGAATCCAAACTATTGTTGTCCAGTCTCGTTATTTCAGGGTTTAAGGGGCAAAGGCAGAAGAATGTACTAACATTCTTCTATGGAATAGATGGAGAACCTCTGTTGTCTCATGGCCTGATTTTGGAGCGGGGCAATCCTCCACCAGATTAATAAGCATGGTTGTAAGTCAAGAGCAGCATTCTAGATATTGCTGCAGCTTCCAACAGTTGCCAAAGGTATAGAATGGAATACTAGGAAATGCAGTCCAATTATTCCTAAATAATTATGGGAATTCCCAACTCTGAAGAAAAATACCAACAGGTTAATTTCAATTCAAGTGAGGAACTCTAATATATCCTATTTGTTTATGTCCATGGGAGAAGCATTATGTTTTTCATCCTTTTCCTACTACACCCCATAGTAAGTTCATCTCCTGAGGAAAAGATTGAAATGAATGTTGGATGGAGAGCTTGCCAGCAAAATAAGAATCAGAACATGAGGCTACAAAGGCATTTTGCTACTCTTCTGCTGCCATAACATTTTAAGTAAGTTGTTTTCCCTTTGCTATCTCAGCGAATTGGCAGTTTGGAGACACTCCAGTTTGGAATGCCTGAATAAAATGGCCTCTGGGATGAAATCTGATAGAACCCACCTGGCTTGGATAACGGCCCTGATGCATTTAGCTTTTTCTGACTGGGAATGTGCTGGGCTGCAACACTGTTGCCTACTAAAATAAAATATTTCTTCAGGCCAGGGTGGATTTTCTTAATATGATCAATTACCTGAAATCTTTTGTCAAAGAGAAGATTTCTTGCCAGTTTTTTTTAAAGTTGGCAATGTCACATTTGTTAGTTAATTAAGATGGAACAGCTACCTGTCAGCATGTACCATTAAAGATATTGCAACCGACTTTGGGTATCTTGTATGTATCAAATCAGTATCTTGAGAAATGTAGGGTCAGATTGCCTGTGTACCCCACCCTGGGATCTGGGTGGCATTGGTGGTTGTCTTGTTGCCATGTGCCTTCAAGTTATTTGAAACATTTGGTGACCCTAAGGTGAAGTTATTGTGGAGTTATTTTGTTAAGATATTATTAACTAACTTTTATTGATATACCACCACCTTCTCCCATGGGGACTTGGGGCGGCTTACAAGCACATAATTTATTTATGTAGTTATGACATTTATATTCCGCTCTTCTCACCCTGAAGGGGACTCAGGGTAACTTACATAATTGGCATTATTACATGCCCAAACAACAACAACAATTAAAAGCAATCAAACAACAATTTAAAACAAGATTAAGCAACATATGTAAACATTAGACGACTATTGTGCATAGATCCAAAGCCAGACAGTCAAATAATTGTGGTGGCATACAACATATAAAATACAACATAACAACATTAAAACCAACAACACATTTAAAACCAACAATATAAAATGAACAAGAGCAATAAAATCAATAAAATATGGCAATAGTCATTAATTAATAGATCTATTTAGCTTAGAGAGAGTTTGTTTATGAATCATAGCATCACAGAGTCACAGAGACCACATGGTCCAATCTCCTGCCAAGCACAATAAAAGTGCTCCTGACAGCCATCCAGCTTCTGTTTAAAAGCCTTAAAATGCCTTCCTCAGAGGCTTAGAAAGTGACCTGCCCAAGGCCACTCAATGGGGATTTGAATCCTGGTCTCCAGAGTCATAGTACAGTGTTTAAACCACTATACCATACTGGCTCTCAAGGTTGGCTGAAATATAAATACGTTAATACGTAAGGCAAAATGGCATATGACAGTTCAAAGGATGTAAGTGAGCTGTGACTTTTTTCTTAAGTCAGAACTGGTCAACTTGTTCCCCATTCCTTCATCATTGGCTAGGAGTGGTGGGTTGCAGTCCAAAGGTCCTGTTCAATAAATACATGTTACCCAGTGCAACTTTGGATGGGTAAAAGACATGTAGTCGTTCTGTGATACCACTGGCAAGGAAACAATAGCTATCAAAGCAGTTGTGTGCCACTTTCTCTATCAGTCCCATAGTTGCCAATATTACCAGGAGTCCTTTCCTCTGTAGTGGCAAGAGAAGCTGCTGAGGCAAGGCCAGTGGTGAAGACTTCTACTTTTCATGTTCCAAATAAGAACATGAGTGGTGTTCCAGGCCCACCTTGGCATGAAAGCCAACTGCATCAAAATAGCTTTGGGGCAACACATGATTTATAGCACCTTTGAAGCACTTTATCAAGCCATGACAAGGGAAAGGGGAGATTCTCTCATATGGAGCTTTGAAGTAAGAGATTAATCTTTCACAATTAGAGAAGTTTTTTTAAAAAAAATTGTGTTGGAATGGGTTAATTATTTTCAGATGAAGTATAGAGGCGGTAAGAACAGTGATTTGCTAGCATAAATAGTTTTTGTGCCATTAAGGCCTGCAAGCCAAGCATTTTTCTGTATGTCTTGTTTCACTTCAAAGAAACACTTCAGGATGCTTAAAAGGATTTTGTTGCTGCCAGACCTAACCCAGCCCAATAACGTTTTTTATTCTTAATTAATAGCCTAATTCCTGCCAAGTCCACCTCCTCATACACATGTATATATAGAGCAGAGATAAATCTGGAGCTCAGAGAGGGCTTTGGTGACCTCTCTCTATTGCTCTTCTGCTTTTTCCCATTTCCCTCATATCTTGGCCTAAACTTTCTCCAGTAGTTTTTCTTTTTATCTTTTTTACATAAAAACAATGAGTAGGCAGTTTAGTTCACGGTCTGGTGGTGGGCTCAGGATTTCCCATGGCTACACATCTTCTGCTCTTGCCCTCCCTGGGAGGTCAAAAAGCAGCTTCAGTTCAATCTCTTTATCCCAAGGTGGGAGAGGGAATCTAGGTGTAGGTCTTGGGGATGGATTTGGTAGCAGAAGCCTCTACAGCCTAGGGGGTAATAAGAGAACCTCCCTCTCTGTTGGTGGTTCAGGAGGAGGCTTTCTGGTTGGTGGCTTTGGTAGTGGTGGTGGTGGAGGTGGTGGCTATGGTGGAAATGGTGGCTATAGTGGAGGTGGTTTTGGCAGTGGAGGGTTTGGAGTTGGGGGATATGGAAGTGGAGGATATGGGCCTGGGGGTTATGGTCTTGCATTAGGAGGAGGTGGACTTGGAGGTGGTGGTGGAAGAATGGCTCCTGTTGTTCCTCCTGGAGGCATCCAGCCAGTCTCTGTCAATCCCAGCCTTCTGGCCCCACTCAACTTAGAGATTGACCCAGAGATCCAAAAAGTACGTGTGAAGGAGAGAGAGCAAATCAAGACCCTCAACAACAGGTTTGCTTCATTCATTGACAAGGTGAGACAATTAAATCAATATATTTCATATGGGTTCTCAAAAAGCTGTGGAGATTTATGATGGACTTTGCAGAAACAGAGAAAAGAAAGAAGAAGCTTTCTGGAATAAATAAACTTGGCATTTTTGCTGAGGCTTATATCTTCTAATGCTATGGCTTTCCTCACATAATGCACAGAGCTACTCATTGATAGGTATTCCCAGCTTTATTCATAAGACTACAGATGTCAGAGTCCCATGGGAAAAGAGAAGGCCTGCGAATCATGTTTATATTCCTAATGCAAATTTCCTTGTCACCACTGTTACTCATATTCTTTTCTTTATGCAATAGTTTTGCCTAATTTCAAGCACTTAAAAAAAACTTGAAAAGATTACAATCTGAAGATATTATGAAGACACAGTTACAATTCAGTGACCTATTGTGGCACATTATAGTGAGGGATAGTAGCTGATCAATGAACTAAGAACTTTTTGACCAAGAAGATCTCTCATCATTAGCAATATTACTGGACCAACAAAGAAGTTATCAAAATTACTCAGGCAATGTCCAGGAAATACTTAAGACCATAAACTGAGGTGTAGTCCATTTGAGGTACATTTCATAAAATAATAGAACCATAGAGTTGGAAGAGACCACATGGGCCATCTAGTTCAACCCCTGCCATGTAGGAAAAACACCATCAAAGTACCCCTAACAGATGGCTATCCAGCCTCTGTTTAAAAGCCTCTAAAGAAGGAGATTCCACCACACTTTGAGGCAGTTGCTCCAAGTCCTATTCTCCAGGGCAGTAGAAAACAAGCCTGTTCCCTCTTCCTTATGACATCCTTTCAAATATTAATACATAGCTATCATGTCTCATCTCAACCTTCTCTTCTGCAGGCTAAACATACCCAGTTCTTTAAGATGCTTCTCATAGGACATGGTCTCCAGACCTCTGATTATTTTAGTCACCCTTCTCTGGAAACATTCCAGCTTGTCAATATCTCTTTTGATGTATCTTACATTAGTCCTTGTTGAAATTATTTTGTTAGTTTTGACCCAACTTGCTAATTGGTTAATTGTTTTGAATTCTGATCCTGTCTTCTGGAATATTAGCTATCCCTCCTAATCAGCAGTGCAGGGGACACACTCCAAGATTTAACTTCAAAAGAACTACCAAGTTTATTCACTCTATCCTATGACATGATTCAAAGTTTCACAGTGGAAGCCTCCAGCCTAAGTGTCCGCCGTATATAGTATTAACACATGTCATTGTTTGATCCAGTTTATTTGAGAATGATTTGGATTTTTTTTTAAAATGAGAATTGTCTCAACATAACAATACTACTGTCAATAATATCTTGAAACACTATCCTGAACAAAGCTAGTTCTCTTTGATCATTGTGAACTTGGAAGAGGATTCTGGGAGCTGCATGCTTTTGTGGCTTCAACTTTAAATATTGGATGTTCTTGCTGGCTTTCAGGTGCGGTTTCTGGAACAGCAGAATAAGGTTCTGGAGACCAAATGGAACCTTCTACAGCAACAAGGCAGCACAGCCACAACAATCAATACTGACCCATTGTTTGAGGCTTACATCAGTAACCTCAAGCGTCAGCTGGATGGTCTGGTAGGAGATCGAGGGAGACTTGATGGAGAACTAAGAAACACACAAGATCTTGTTGAAGATTATAGAAAGAGGTAAATTAAATTTGAGATTGTGTGTGTTGTCTTCTTGAAGAACACACAGTTTCCTGATCAATGGAAGTAGTGGCATTCTATTTCACCTCTTCCAGATATTACTGCTCCTATTTCAGGGAATAGATTTTAGCACCTTAGATAGCTCTTTCAAGATTTGGATAAAAGCCCAATGACATGGAATACACCAGTCAGAAGGCATGAAACAGAACAATGGAGTAGAATCCTGAAGGTTTAGTACACCACTTGAAAATGTAAGTGTGAGATTAGTATTTAAAGTCCCCTCTATAAAGCAGGTATCAAATGAACACATTTTAAAAACAGGGATTGGAGCCAGACATTTGACTTATTTTCCACTTTGAAGGAGACTTGAGCTACATACACATGCATAAGTCTCAGGACTTTTTCCTCAAATGAAAATTTTCCTGTGTTGTGTGAAGTGTGTTCACACAACAGGACTAGTTGAAGACGTTGCATGAGAAGATATAAAAATGGCATCTCGTATCCATCCAGCTGTAAAGTCAGCTAATTTGTTTTGCCATATTAGATAGAAAATTCCACAAGCACCTCTCAGCCTAATCCTTGACAAAACGCCCCAGTGATTATATTTTAAGTAAGTAATCATTTCCTTTTCTTCCATGTTACTCCAGATTAATTCACCAGTATAGTTCTACATTCAGTCTAGTTCTAGGGCTGTTTCAACCATTCTACCACCTCAGATCTTTGTGTAGATCCATCATTGTCCATGAATTCACCAAGGCTATGTACTAGTTTAGGTGCTTGCCTGTTTCAGATCAATGCTTTTATGATTTTTGGCATGGATTCCAGCTTGTGGTTTTGGCTGGAGGAGTTTCCATCTCAAATTAAAGAAATGAAGACTTTTAAAGTGAGAATTTACAAGGACCCCAAATTACATTTTGATTCACAAAATGAGAGCCATAAAATTTCACCAAAGCATTGGTTTATTGCAGGTGTGCAACAGGATGACATTGTTGTTGTCTAGATCAGTGGTTCTCAGCCTGTGGGTCCCCAGGTGTTTTGGCCTTCAACTCCCAGAAATCCTAACAGCTGAWAAACTGGTTGGGATTTCTGGGAGTTGTAGGCCAAAACACCTGGAGAAGCACAAGTTGAGAGCCACTGCTCTAGATCAAGGCTACTCATTGTGCTCCTCTACAGATCCTGTTGCACTGCAATTCCCATCAGTCCTATCTCACAGACAATAATGAGGACTGGTGTATATTGTAGAATGAATTTAGTTTGACATAACTTTAATTGCTATGGAGCAACGCTATGGAATCATGGAAGTTGTAGTTTGGCAAGGCACCAGCCCTATTTTRCATTTTCTATAGCATTGGGCCATGGCAGTTAAAGTAGTATCGAACTGCATTAAATTTTACAGTACAGATGGACCCTTTGTTTCTTCTAAAAGGTAGTAATGACTGATTTCAGCAAAAAAAATTACTGTAAAAAGTTTGCAACCCCCCCCCCCATATATTATTTGAAAAGCTATTTTCAAAGCAATTCAGCACTTTATTTGCATAAAATTTTCATGTGATTGTTGTGCAGAAAAAAAATACAATTTCTGTCTGTATAGAAAAATAGCTTTTCTATGTGGGAACTAATAATCTAATGCAGAAATATTAATTCCTGTGCAGAAAATGCTGTTTTCTGTGCAAATCACCCAAGTGTTTTCAGTGTTTTGCATAGAACACGGCATTTTCTGTACATGTGAAATATATTGCTCCATACCAAAAAGCCTATTTCCTACGTAAACAATGCTGTTTTCTATGCAAAACAACAACATGTGAATTTTTAGCAGAATAAGCACCAAACGATGAAGATCATAATCGGTGTAGAATTCCCCTTATCAAAGTTTCCCAACACTTGAAAAAACATTTTGAACATGCTTTCCATCCCTAGAGTGCTGGCCTTCAGGGCCTTCTAATCCTCACCACTGTTTATCTAACAGTTTGGTGGATGATCAAAATAAATCAAGACAGCAACAACAGAAAATAATAACTGTTTTTCTGAAAGGCTGTAGCCAGGTACAGGGAACACTAAGAGTTTCAGGGCCTATAGTATTGCCAGCCAATGGTAAGTGAAGATGGTAAGGGATTGTAGTGCTGTAATCTAGCAACATTTGTAATGCCATCAGTTGCCCACCCAATATCTCAATGTATCTTGAGAAGAAGTCTTTAGTCTTGATTCTCCCAATGTTCCTTAGATTCCCCAAGTGATTTCACATAGAGTGGCAGCATGTGCCATTTCAGAATGGTAAACAGCTACTTGTTCATTTGGACCAGAATACTTCCATACTGACCCTGACACAGTATGGGGATACTCTATGTATGATGCCTTTCTGGACACCATAATTATTTACCCTCTTTGTGATTCTATTTGCAAGGTGATTGTAATCTAAGCACATAATCTTGATCATCCTTTTTTAGTCTGAGATTGATTGACGTGATAGATCAGAACTTTTTCAGGAAGAAAACATATCTTGTAATTTTTTTCCCTCTTGCTTCTTCTTTGAAGAAGAGCTGAAACCCAAATATGATTCTTCCTTTGACAGGTATGAAGATGAAATCAACAAACGCACTGCTGCTGAAAATGAATTTGTTGACATCAAAAAGGTGACATTTTTTTAAAAAAAAAGCATTTGAATTTCTAAGTGTGGAGATCTCTGGTCAATAGAATAAGTGTTATCTCTTAGGTGATAAATTAGAACAAGATGTCAGATACAGTTCCAGATCATCTACTTATTCTCAAAATACTTGATTATAGGGTGCAAAGGAAAACAGTGCAGCTAATCATGTATCTCAACTTGCAACTATCAACAAGCAGTAATTGAAAAGGTGGTACATTACTGAAAAGAAGATCTTATCGTTATTCTTTGGCACATGTGTTGCCATTATATATCCAATTACCAGGTAGAAAAAGACCATCGAATTCCACAAGCATTGCAAAAGCATTACAATCCTTACATGATTAGAATCATAGAATTGGAAGAGACCTCAACAGCTATTCAGTCAAACAATCTGTCATTCAGGAATCAAAGCACTACTGTCAAATGGTCATACTGCCTCTGTTTAAAAACCCTCAGAGTAGAAGGCTCCACCACATTCTGAGGCAGCATACTCCAGTTTTGAACAGCAGTTACCATCAAGAAAGGTTTGCTAATGTTTAGATGGAATCTCCATTGCTCTGTGGCCTAGTCTCTAGAACAATAGGAGACAGGCTTGTTCCCTCCTCAATATGACATCCAGAATTGTAGTTTTCCTCAATCCATTAGTAAAAAGAGTCATCAGTTACAAGCATTATTTGTAATGAGTTTCTCCCAAGTTCTATAAAGAACTTATGAAGTGAGGACTGAAGCAGGGCAATCTGGTGCCCTTCCAGTATTAAGGTTTCATTAAGTAGATGTGGGGATGTTGTAATCCAGTATGTTCAGAAGGTGTACTCTGCCAGACCAATAGTTTAAACTACTATAATAGAGTTCTCTGAATTATTTGCCCGTTCTACTTACTTTTAATGTATGAACTCTTTTCCCCCTTCTTTCAGAATGTTGATGGTGGCTTCATGCACAAGGTAGAGCTGAGTTCAAAGGCTGATGATCTGACAGATCATATAAACTTCATGAAAGCTCTCTATGAAGCAGTAAGTGCATATAACTGTTGATAAGTTGTGAGTGGTGAGAAATCCATTGCAGACTGGAATCTGATCAATGGGCATCAGGGCGGAAATTAGCATTGTTTTCTCTTTCATAGGCCCCAAACAAGAAAATATGTCACGAAGCTGCATACATCTGCTGGTCATGATGATGATGATGACCATTGATGCTTCATCATCACTATCATCACCATCATCTATATAAATAAAAATGCAATGTTTGTTTGTGGGATTAACATAACTCAGAAACAACTGGACAAATTGTCACCAAATTTGGACACAATACACCTATCAGGCCAACGAGTGACCATCACTCATAAAAACCCTGAAAAACACAGCAGAAGGGAAAGCAAAAAGACACTACAGCACATGTGCAAAAACAACTCCCCTTGGCAAACAAAACACATAATAGCATATCCACACTCTCTTCTGGACTCTAGCTCCCAGCATTCCCTAGACCAGGCCCTTTAGGAGAGGAGGATGATCCAAATGCACTGCTTCCAGGCTCCAAGCTTTCTTCTCCTTTGATTTCTTTGAGAGCATCCCAATCCCTGCATATTTCCAATTTCCTATTCCTGGACTGCAACTCCCAGCAATCCTCCAGATAGATTGATTAGATAGATAGATAGATAGATAGATAGATAGATAGATAGATAGATAGATAGAGATAGATAGATAGATAGATAGATAGATAGATAGATAGATCAGGAGGACTGCTGGAAGTTGCAGTCCAAAAATAGGTAGAGAAGGAAGAAAGGGGAGAAAGAGGAAGGGAAAGAAAAGGGGGGGAGGGAAGAAGAAGAGAAGGAAGGAATGAGAGAAAGAAAGAAAGAAAAAAGGAAGGAAGGAAGAAAAAAGAGAGGGAAGGAAGGAAGGAAGGAGAGAAAGAAAGAAGAGAAAGAGGGAGGGAAGGTTGGCCACAGCAACGGGTGGTGGGTACAACTAGTCAGTATTATTTATATAGAGAGCTGGGAATCACTTGTCGATACCTTGAGATGATGACAGGTATCTTTTTAAAGTTCTGGTTTACTCATTTCAAAGATATTACTGGATTCCTTTACACCATTTTCTCCAAGAAAATGAAGATTGATATGCCCAAACTAATATGATTGAAATGATATATGTTTAGTCTATTTCAGGAGTGAACAGAGGCCAGCTTTTTGTGAGGAGTGCATTCAACTTGCCATAGGACTTACACTGTAGAATTAATTCAGTTTGGTACCACTTTATCTACCATAGCTCAATGCTATAAAATCATCAGTTGAAGTTTTATAAAGTCTTGAGCATTCTCTGCCTAATAATAATAATTTTATTTCTTACCTGCCTCTCCTCATGGCTCGAAGTGGGTTACAATACTGCTAGTGTCTCACTAGACTACAACTTCCATGATTCCATAGTATTGAGTCATGTTTGTTAATGTCAAACTCCTTTAATGTCAAAGTATAGATGTGCCCATTGTCACCCACTGAGCATTTCTATCCAAAATAGGGAGGAAATTATCCATTGCAGCCCCCCAAATGGGGGTGGGAATTGCTGTTGTACACCTTTTCAGGCCCTCTCCTCTCATTCTTTTGTTGGAGAGAGTAGGGGCATTTTCACATCAGGGTGTAATCCAATTTCCTGCTCTGGACAAATTCTGGTTTAAAAAGATGCTTATATATATTGAAGACCTTAATGAACTCACACTTTTTGAATGCATTTGTGAACTCGAAGGTTGTTTTCCTTCTGAACTCTCACTTCTCAATTTTGCAATGCAAGAAACCAAAAACAAATTCTGGGTATAAACATGTATGTATTAGAACATATGCACAAAAGCATACATGAAAAAGCACGAACATTTTAATATAGACTTTCTTCCATCAAAACTGGAACCTAATGCAGAAATTGGATGAAAGCAATTAAAGTCTGGAAAAATAGAAACTCTCAAAAATGTAATGAGCAGATTTATTTCCCCAAAACTTTGAGTCTTTCATAAAACGGATGGTACATGGAATCTGCCAAAAACGAGTGGTTGCTTTACGATTTATGTTTCCTATTTATTTTGGAATTTGAATTCCTCTGCTGGTTCATACAAGATAAGACTATTCAAAATCTATATTTATTTATGCCTATCTTTTCATCCAACCATTCATCCTCTCATACATTCAACAGAAATTACCATACAGGTGAATGTCAAGATCACCAGTATGTAGTAGCTATGGCATTTGATTCACTTAAGTTACTTTTATTTGTACCCTTATAGACAAATTATTATGTTTTTGATAGTAGGGCTTAGATGGACGGACTGATCACATGATCTCCTTTTGATTCGAAGGAACTGTCTCAGATGCAAGGGCGGATCAGTGACACCAATGTTGTTTTACAAATGGACAACAATAGAGATCTAGACCTCAACAGCATCATTTCTGAAGTGAAAGCACAATATGAAGACATTACTAACCGAAGTCGAGTTGAAGCAGAGACTTGGTACCAAAGGAAGGTAGGATATGATGTCACTTGGCTACTGATTCTTTACAATGACACAAACGCTTTTGGTCCATCCATGGGGTACTTTATGCAGGACAAAAACCTAAAATACACAGAGAACAAATCTCGTAATGAAGTAAATTCCATGAGAACACTGACAGGTCTCAGGTCTTTACAGGTGAGAATTTTTCTCTTCATACATGCTGTGGTTTTTCTATTTATTGCTTTTAGAAATTTTTGAGCTAGTCGCCTCTCAGTGCACACAGTGCAGATCCCTTTATACAGGAATCCCCTGATTTATGATATCAGGCTCTTTCAACCATTCCACATTTATACCCTGAACCATTTTTTGACGCATAGTCTGCTCTTTTGATGTTTTTGGAACTATGCTAGGCTCCTGCCCCCCCCTCCAGCCAACTTGGCTCTCTTGTTTATTTTCTCTCTTCCAGTCTATGTGCACCCTGCTTTTTTTCCTCCGTAGACTTGGCACCATCTGTTTTATTCAGTCTATGTTCAAAGTTCTTCATGGTGCAGCTTAGAGGTGATAGAAAGTGCACCTCTCATACATTACTGTACAGTATTTGTGCTTATAACACAGTATTCAAACTGTACTTATATTTGTGCTTATAATATGTAGCATACTGTAATATATACAATATATTATATACAGTACCACAATACATAATACTCAGAATACATTCTATAGTAATTATTACAGTATTTCTGAGAGATACAGATTGGAATATGTATGTATATGTATGTATAATATGTACATATAAAAACTAGGTTCTGCTTTTCAAACCTTGGCTTTTTGGCAGTGCTTTGGTTCTTAACTCATAGGATAAAGGTGGATCACCTGTCATAGGCTGCCAGAAAACCCATCTTTTGGGCGGTGAGAGAGGAACAAGGGGCTTGGCAATGACAGCCTTATGTAGTAGCTTTTTTTTCTCTTCCTCTCTGAACTGTCTAGAAGAGTACCAGTGAAATCAAACCTTTATTGGTGTCCACTCCTCATATTTCTGTGAGACAGTTACAGAAAGAATGAATTGGAAGGAGCTGGGTGCCAGGAAAAGATTGGTATTGGCAAGAAAATTTTTGGAAGAGGCAACATTTCAGTCTTTACTAAAACTACTGTTGTGCATTTCTTTTCACAATACAGGCCTGTTAGGTTTTTTTTCATGCCAAAAGTGACTTGAGAAACTGCAAGTTACTTCTGGTATGAGATAATTGGCAGACTGCAAGGATGTTGCCCAGGGGACACCTGGATGTTTTACCATCCTGTGGCAGGTTTTTCTCATGTCCATGCATGAGAAGCTGGAGCTGACAGAAGGGAGCTCACCCTGTCTCTTGGATTTGAACTGCCAACCTTCAGGTCAGCAGTTCAGCTAACACAAGGGTTTAACCCATTGCACCACCGCAGCTCCAGGACTGTTAGTGAAACATTCATTTGCACAAAACCTTTTTTGTGTATATGTATGTGTGCAAAAACAAAACAAAACAGAAAAACCCCAAAGTATCTTGCGCAAAAGGCAATTTTCTCTAGACTTTCCCCCCAAAACAAAACAAGGTTTTTTCTGTACAAAAAACAAGTTTTTTGAGATAGTGATTTTCCTTTTGCCAAAAAAAGTTATAAAATGTAAAAAATATAAAAAATTTAAATCAAGTTGTAATCTTGCCCTTTAGGCAGAATCTCTGAAATGGCTCAATCTGTCATACAAGAATGGGATAACATTCCACTCCTCCAACGCTGAAATCACCTCTTAGCATGTAGTGCTTGGGGTGCCCACTTCTCTATGTCCAATGATAGGGCCAGCTTTCATAGATTTAAATTTTTTCAAGAAACCAAGAGACAGTTGGACTATGTTTAATATGCTCCTTCCAGGCTTAGTAAGGTCACTTGCCCATTGTCCTGAAATTCTGGAAGTGGCACTGCTTCAAATAGCTCCATCACTAAGGGAAGGATTTCTTTTTGTCTTGCAGTTCCAGGAACTTCAGAGTACAGCGATCAATCATGGAGATGATTTAAAAAATACTAAGAATGAAATTGCAGAGCTCAGTCGGCTCATCCAGAGAATGAAAGCAGAAATTGACAGTGTGAAAAAGCAGGTGGGTTGACTGGATGCTTTTATGTGTTTCTCCTACTCTTACTATGTAGGTATATGTAAAGTAAACCATACTAAAAGGAAGTGGCATAGCAGCATTTACAGACAATGAGGTAAACCAGACCAGTTCATTTCAGCATTAGTCTGAAATTCGGTACACGGTACAGCAGTCACTAGAATTTGTAGCTTGCTGTCTGAAACATTTACTGTCCTACAAGACTTCTTCTGTCCAAGTCAACACTAAGCATGATATTTGAAAAGTCAATAGTATAACACCAAAATCTATAAAATCCCAAATCTTACCATCTTGATAGCAAAGTCAAAGAGTATGTATAACTATGTAAATAATAATAATAATAATAATAATAATAATAATAATATTTATTTGTATCCTGTCCCCTCTCCCCGAAGGGACTCAAGGCAGCTTACAGCAAACAAACGAATACAGCAAATAATATAACACAGACAATAATCACATATCACTTAATACAACAAAATAACGTAATAGTATAAACATTAATAAAAATGAGTTTAAAAACTATTTTGTCTCCTAAAATCAGTAAAAAATCAACAGTGTTTGAACCAGCCAATGAACCTGGAAGAAATGCACTTCCTTGTAAATTATGTGCTCATATGTTTGTAATGTTTCAGCAGATGTATGCAACTGTTTTCTCTTGCTCAATGGATACTTGAATTATTGATAGATGATACTGCTTAATGTAAGCTACATATTATGACATATGTAATATAAGCACTTGCAAAACTAGAAACCTATTGATGTATGACTTCCCTCAAACATGCTTCAGATTGCTGGTCTCCAGACAGCTATTGCTGATGCTGAACAACGCGGGGAGTTGGCCCTGAAAGATGCCAGAGTAAAACTGGCAGATTTGCAACATGCCCTACAAAGCGCCAAAGATGAGCTGGCACGTCTGTTGCGGGATTATCAGGAACTGATGAATGTCAAATTGGCCCTGGATGTTGAGATTGCTACATATAGGACTCTGCTGGAAGGAGAGGAGTGCAGGTGAGTGCCATCTTGTGATGGTTTCTTAAATTTCATACAGTGTTACTCAGAGTTGAGACAAACAGGCTTTTAAGGGTTTTAAACCTTTAAGCCAGAATCTTCACAATAACTTAAGCTTGAATAGGTAGGGTGTTAAGCAAACGTAGGCATTTTAGAGGATAGAATTCAAAGACTTTAGACTTGTCTACATGAACCAAAAATGTAGATTCACTCAAATTCAGCACTTGCCGTTTTCATGATGAATGGTGACTTCCAGTGAGTATTCTGGGCTGTCTGTCCTTACCTCCAGTTTTAGGGCTTTGCAATAGTCGGGACAGCTGTATCAAGTCTATTTCAGTCCAAACCATTGCCATCATCCTTTCCCTGAATTGATCAGTGCAAGGGATGGGAATGGTTCATCCTCATGTTGCCACCTCTGATGGCCACAGGTCTCCCAGTGATTCCCATCTGATGTTGAAATGCTGTATCTGGGGTAGTTCTGGGACAGAAAAAAACCCAGAGTAACCTGCCCAGTGTAGATGCAGCTATAGTTGTGTTACTCTAGAATATCAGTCTGCAAAGGGATCTTGACTCACCTTGAATACCAACTGAGAGAATGAAATTGATAGCATAAATGCTCACAGATTATGTGTACATCTACACTGACCATATAATACAGTTTCACACTGTAACCAGTTTGAGTCTAGATGGTTATTACACAAACCACAAAGTACTGATGGACATTAAGGACTTTGTTTTGTGGGAATTTGTTGTCTGGCTGCTGCTAGCTTTGAACTCCAATAAATGATCAGTGTAGATGGGGGACTATGTTTACTTCTTCATTTGCACCCGAAGAAGTAGACTTTGTTTATAAAAGCCTATGCTGACATCCCTTTGCATATTTTTGAGGATGCAACTCTTAAGAGATAGCTAATACCTTTTTGATGCAACATGCCGATTAATTATGAACATTTTATGTCATCTTGGCGACTCAGGCAACCGTTTGAAATTAATTCCAGCACAAAATGACTGTGTTTCAAGTCAGTCATTTTGGGATCATTGAAGACAATTATTCAAGTGATAATGTCTATTGTCCCTGATTTCATTGCACAGATTATATACAATTTGCCATGCATTTTAGCAGTGCAGGTGGTTTTTGTTTTACATTTGCATAGAATATTGTTTGATGTTATAGGAATTTCCCAATTGTAATGATTATCTTTAGGTTTGGAATAACCATTATCTATGTTCATATTAGTAAGCATTGTAGGTTGTTAGACATCATGAATAACATCACACGCATATGTATATCACATGAGATTTCCACACATCTTTAGTTTTAATTTTACATTTCCCATAATCTCTAGTGATGATAAATTGGTTTAGGATGATAGGTTGGAACCTACAGGCAGTCTACATATCTGGTGGGCACCCCAGTAGGGAAGGCAGAAAATGTAGGGAAGGCAAAATGTATTCACTCCCTCTAAGGTGGTGCAAGGAATCTTTGCTATTTACTAGTAAAAGGTGAGAGACATTTGTGAAATGGAGAAAATTATTCCAAATGATCTGCAACTAATCCTGCCCTCCCCCTTGCACTGAGACAAAATAGACCACTTATGACACTAGGAGTTCACTTGAGGCATGGAGCCCACCGGCTCCCATCACACAATGTCAATCTACTTTAGGTGGGGCTACCTGTCTCAAGTGAAGTCCAAGTGTGGTAAGTGACAGTGTCAGCAACATTGGAGGCTCTCCCTGTTGCATAGGAAACATTGGGAGGAAGCTGGGCGGCAATGTTTCTCTCCTTGGGATGGGGTGAGGGGCAAAGCGGGCAATGTGGAGTGTGGGGTGATGAGTTCCCCATGACCCACCGGGCCCTGCCAGATTTGCCATAATCAGTGGCAAATCCTACCCCTCAATGTGATGAGTTCCTTAGTGAGCTTGCTCCTTTGAAACCCAATCCAATCTTACTCTACTTTCCCACTCAGTCAATGTTGCGTCTGAAGAGCCAGGGGCCTTATCATACTTGCACATTTTTCCACTTAAATCTAACTGTGTTGAATATAGTTGAACATAGTTGACCTGTGTTTTGATTCTACTTAGGCCAGAAATATGCCACAGGGCCTCATCATACTTGAGCATTTATCCACTTCAATCCACTTTAAATGCTGTGACTGCCTTCAAAATTCTGTGGCTTGTAGTTTAGGGAGGCCCAGGGCTTCTCTGGATGAGCAGTTTAAAGGCCCCATCCCTAAACTACAAACCACAGAAATCTGCAGGAGGCAGTCACAGCATTCAAAGTGGATTAAAGCAGATAAATGCTCAAGTGTGATGAGGCCCTGTGGCATGTTTCTGGACTAAGTACAATCAAAACAGGTCAACTATTATCCACAGTTAAGTAACTGTGTATGTGTTGAAACATATCCCCCATGGGATATAACATAATATGGCATATTTCTGTTAGAAAACATATTCTTAATTGAAAAGCATATTTACTTATTTACTTGTTTATTGCATTTTAAAATCTGCCTTTTCCCTGGTGAGGGATCCAAGGCAGCTCACCAAACAAAAGGTTTCCCTGTTTTTAAAATGTTTGTACCTCTGGGTATTAGAACTTTCAGTAGTATTTCCCTTCTGCTTGTTTGCTACAATGACTTGCATTTACCCAAATCCAGGGTTTTTGGGGTCTGGAGGTCCTAGACTTATTTTTTGGGAGGAGCACAGAGAGCTGCATCAGATGAATCATTTCCTCCCAGTTCTGCCAGAAACTGCTGTTCTGTCAGCAGACCATCAGCTACTGCATCTTGACTTTGGTTTAAGAACAAACTATTTGCTATCCACCACACAAAAGGAAATATGATTCAGTGTAATGGGGGGAAAGCTAAGAGACATCCAGGGAGAGGTTGGTAGAAAAATCACATATTGGGTCTATTCTGGAGTGTATCTGAAAGGCAAAATAGAGGTCCTAAAGAAGAATTCTGCTTCTTCAATTTTCTTCAGTCCTCAAAAGCATAACTTAAAACTTCAACTGAACATTCAGAAATAAGTTCAAGCTCCCAAAGACAAAGGGCAGACAAAATTTGCAAGGAAAGGCAATCTTAGTAAATGTAAGTATTCTAAACATAAATGGGTTGGGTGTCTCAAGCCTCACTTTGCAATGGTAAAGGTTGGAACCTGCAGACAGGAAAGTTTCATGGAAGGGGGAACAATTCTGAATAGAGTCAACATTTACATTTTGCTCTTCCACCCCACTCTATTCAATAACGACATGCTTGTGATTCTGCCAACAGGCATTTGAGATCAAGGAGGCACATAAGTTAGCTTTAACACCTAAATCTACCTTCTTCTATTTACCTTTTAAAAGCATGCTTCAGGTTTTGTCACCACTTTGAGTACTTTATCAGGCAGGCAGTGCTGTGATCAGAGGACAGTGCTGAGACCTCTTTCTTCAAAAACATGTTCATATTTGATTCACTTGACTTATCTGAGACATTTTCATCCCACCCTTTCTCTTTTATAGGATGTCTGGAGAACTCACCACCCCTGTCAGTATGTGTAAGTATCTCAGTGGTATTACCTAACTCTGGATCCCTGTGATATTGTCTTCCTTCCCATATTTCAGGAGTAATATGTCTGATGCCACATGTTGTTTGCACTAGTGGTTTTATGGGCAGCAAATTGGTTTTACACACATACACAGTAAAATGCAGACAACAAATCTATTTAAATCATCAGGAGGAAAACTGCATCCAGTACCATGTCAGAAGATATAATAGAATAGTACAATGAAATTAAATTTGTGATGTGTGTTTCCCAGAACACATCACAAACAACACACCCATCCCTCCACACTTCAACCACCACCACACAGTCCCCAATGTCCCATCAATGTGAAAACATGGAGTTCAGTATAGTTACAATTCTAGGATAAAAGCTATATTCAATCTGTTCGTCCTTTTCTTTGTCACCCTGTACTATCTGCCAGATTGTAATAATTTAAATATATATATGCTGGGTGAGATGGATACTTAAAAATGTTCTGAGCTTTCTTAAGCCTGTGGGACATATAAAGTTCTTCCAAAGAGGGGAGAGGGCACCCAATGATTCTCTATATAGTAGTGGTGACCCTTTGAAGTGCCTTCTTACATGCCATGTGCAGTTACCAAGCCATGCACATATGCAATAGATGCTACATTATCTGGCTGTTTGATGTTGTCCGGACTTGTTCTGTCACTCACATTTCCCTGCATATTGCTTTTTTGTATGCAGTGGTGTTAAATCTCTGTCTAGCCTGTCCCAGTAATGTTTGCTCCTCCATGGAAACTTCTTTTGCTTTATTGATTTGAAGTAGGTTAGAGATTGGTCTGGACTACATTTCAGTAACCAACCTGTTTTTCTTCTAGCGGTGATCAGCAGCTCTTCTAGCATTGGTGGAAGCAGTTACGGCATCGGAGGAGGTCTTGGAGGTGGTGATGGAGGTCGAGTGAGCAGTGGAGGATTTGGCCTGGGCGCTGGTGGTGGTGGTGGAGGAGGTGGTGGAGGTCTTGGTCTTGGTTTTGGAATGGGTGGTGGAGGTGGTGGAGGCTATGGTGTGAGTAATGGGATTGTTACTGGAGGAAGCAGATACAGTTCTGGAAGTGCCCGGGGCTTTGGTGGGGGGTTGATTGCTGGAGGAGGAGGAGGGGGAGGTGGGAGCTCCTCAAGCACAAAATATGTCTCAACAGCGTCATCATCAAGCAAGAAAATAGTTAGATAAAAAGCAAATGTCCACACACATCTATCCACAATCAGACAATTATGGTAAAATTTCTATTTCTAATTGCCAAAGCTCCAATATAGTAGTCCTTTCTTTACACCTGATCACATGAGAGGCATGTTGGCTGCTGATGAGAAATCCCTGTACATCTGTCTTGACCCACCCGAGGCTCTCCAGTTCTGTTGGCTACAATTTCTGTTGTCTCCACTTTGCATCGCTGCTGAGGTGATGAAAATTTTCACCACATTTAGAGGACATTAATTAGAGGAAGGTCAGCTCAGTCTTGGTCTGTCTGATGGAGAAAAAATCATGCTGGACTCCCACATTAGATTGATTGAGAACAATTGCATAAATGTTTCTCCCTCATGACCCTTTTAATCACTGATGCCATAGTATTTCTATTATGAGGTCTAGCTATTCTAATTTGTGGTATAGCCCAGAACTCCTTATTCAAAGTAGATTGATTGTTCTCTTGATGTGGAAGTCACCACCTATCAGTCCTTTTTTTTTTTGTAAAGGAATAAAAAAAATCCAACCAATTCAACCTTTAATGTTTTTTAATTGTCCACTACTACCTGTTGTACATACAATTACAATGATTATCCCTTTGCTTGCTACTTGTTCTGAATTTCTTCACACTTTTTATGGCAAATAAACTGCATTGTGATATTATTTTCTACCTGCATGTGTGTTTTTGGAACTGGGGAATATGGAGATAGAAGATACGGAGCTGTGGGTTATGGACTTGCATTAAAAGGAGGAGGGTTTGGTGGTGATGATAGAAGAATGATCCCTGTTGATCCTCCTGGAGGCATCTAGTCAGTCTCTGTCAATGCCAGCCTCCTGTCCCTATCCAACTTCAGGGTTGACCCTGAGATCCAGAAATTATGTGCACAGGAAAGAGAGCAGATAAAGACTATCAGCCACAAGTTTGTTACATTCATTGACAAGATGCATAAATTAAATCCATGTTATTTGAATGGAATGTCACAGAGCTCTGGCATGGTTTACAGGAACCAAGGAATTACTTCAGGTGCTTTTGTGTGGTGTTTTTCCAAAGCTAGTGTTTAGTTTTTAACACTACTGCTTCCTTCGCAGAAGACTTGGAGATGCCTTTTGATAGGCATTCGGGGTGTGCAATTCAGGAAAAATCTGTCCCATTTTGGTCCCATTTTTGGCTGAGATCCCATTGATTTTAATAGGGGAAAATGGCTAGACTCCTCTTTCCTTCATTTATGGCTAATACGACAAAAATGACCACACTTGGAGGATACATTTACCACTGCAAGCTTCCTAAGTTTCAGAACATTTGAGCCATCCACACGAAATTTTTAAAGGAGAGGGAGATTCAAAGAGGGCTTGGGGGGAGTTTTTGAACTGGTATAAGTGCACACATCAAAAGGTAGGGCTGGGGAAGGTATAGCACAGACTAAGAGTCAAAGAGGTGAAAGGGGGAGGGGACTTGAGAAATATCTTTCAGTCCTTCTATTTTACTAATTATTTTGCTAGTGAGAAGTGGCCCACCCACTCTCCCTAGCGAAATTACTAAGAAAATGTAGTGTAGAAAAAGATGAATTCTCCAAAAGCAATCCATGCTTTAAGCACTAAACAGTGGCACTGAGACATGGAGCTAGTACATCTTTCTCTCTCTCAAACGCCAGCATTGCAAAAAGACACATGATCCACTTAATTTTTTTATTGACTCTGGGAAGGCTAAAGGGGGAGGGGAAGTAAAACTCACTCGCAGCTGCTCTTCTCTTGTGGCAGTTGAATAACACTGAATACAACTGAAGATTGGTGGTCACGTCTCCCATTATTGCCGGTCTCTGGTTGCCCTGCTTGTCTGCCTTGTATCTGGGGATTCAGTTGCCGATTTTAGCTGAATCCACCGAATCCAGAATGCCAAGCCAATATCGTTCACGCCCCTAATAAGCATCACCAGCTTCTTTCACAAGACTTAAAGAGGTCCTAATAAACTGGTTTAATGCTACATGTACATGTTCTGTCATCTTTCCTAGTGCCTTGAAGAGCAGTTGGGGTGTTCAACAGCATTTAGTGTGTCTCCAAGCATTGTTTAATAAAGCTGGGGATGCTGGCAATTTCTCCCTGTGATTGGAAGACATTCTGAAAGGACAGTTACGATTTTGTGTAGAAATGGTAAGCTCCTATACATGCACGTTTGGAATGATGAGCAGCCATTTTTTCTCCACATAGAACTGTTGTAAAAGACACAGTAATAGGTCTACTTATTTTAACACTATGGCTTGTAGGTAGGGTTACTTGCTCTACTTTCATACTACACAGCTAGATTTCCAGGTTTGAGATCTGCCAAGAAAGCCAGAGCAGACCTCTGTCATGGCAGATCCCAATGACACTGCAAAAATAGTACCTTACTCTCTTAAGTGTGCTATTACTTAAATCAGTGTTATTCTTATTGGTAGTCTTTGAGTTATCAGCTGTCAATCCGAGTTTCCAAATAGGATTATCAACACATGGTATTGTTATGGCACAAATATAGTACTGATCTCTAGCACATAGGTGGAAAATTTGCTTTTTCCCTTCAACAGATAGCTTAACAAGCATTGGTTGTCCTCTGAAGATGGCAACCACAAATCCAGGTGAAATGTCAGGAAAATGCTGCTAGAGCATGGCCATACAGCCACACATAACTCCCCAAAGTTAATGCTAACTCTAATCCAAATGCTTTGGCAAGCGATGCTCCTTCACTTCCAGTTCCCCTGGGACAGCAGGATAGAAATACTAATCTTGTTGTTTAAGTTTGTAATGTAGCATATGTGAAGCATCTCAGATTTGCTGAACAATGGATAATTCATATCTTCCTATTAGGTACCTTCCTTAAACAATTCTTACAAATTCTAATGACTGACTTCAGCATATTTGAAAGTTTGTGCTAGAAATAAAAGTTCAGTGACAACTGAAAAATTACAACTGAGATTACAAAAAGAAACTAAATTAAATGTTATGGGTTAATCTACAAGGAAATGTCAAGCTCTATACAAAGGGAAGGGAAAGCATAAACATTTACCGAGGAACACTTTATAAGATGAACTACTCTGATTTATGGCATTTCTGTTAGCTTGGATTTCTAGACAGGACAGGCAGCAACAATCGTATCAGGACTTTAACTTGCCCTGTGAAGCATTTGCAGTTTTATAAAGTTTTTGTTATTCATCAGTTTCATGAGTACCATACTCTCCCCTTTTCAGGCCAAGTCAATAGTGAAAAAACTTGTTGAACAATCACTAATGCAGCAGCACAGCTAAGAAAACTCCTACTCTCTTTCAACCTGTTTTCAAAATGAGAGATAAAGTACAGTACTGCAAACATGGGAGAAAGATCATTTAGTTAATGTGTGAACCTATTACCTCTTAGTCCATGAATACTTGAATAATGAAAATCTTATACTATAATTACATATATGACCGAGAAAATATAAACTGTGTTATTAGGAAAAAAACTGAGTACATAGCTTTTTTTCAAATGAGCCACAGGTTGCTGGTCTCTAGGCACCTATTACTGATGCTGAATTTGAAAAGTTGGCTCCAAAAGATACCAGAGGAAAACTGAAAGATCTGCAATATGTCAAGGATGAGCTGGCACATCTGCTGAAAGATTCTCAGGAGCTCATGAAAGTCAAATTGGCCCTGAATGTCGAGAATGCCATATGTGGGTATCTGCTCAAAAGGGAAGAGTGCAAGTGGGTGCCATCTTGTGTCCATTTCTTTTATGTCATATCTATGATGCTTTTCCTATGCATTTAGTATTTAATCAGTTGTTAATTGGTTCACTTATGTGCACCCTGGCCTGTTATTTACATATTTCGTTCTTCTTCTAATAAGTTCTAGAACAGAGCTTTCCAAACTGTGCGTCACGACATGTTACTATGTTGGCTAGTGTGTCTAGGTGTGTTGTGCAAATGTAACAAGAAACCTCTGAATCTATGAAATAAACAATAAAGAATATATTTTTGAAAAATATAAATGAAAGGTTTCCATGAGGCATGTTTTGTCCCCATCATTCCTTTATTACAATTTATGTGTATAAGGGATTGGTTTAACCTCCAGTTTGCTGATAAAACTGAATCACTGTGTCACAAAAGGATGCATATCTAAAAAGTGTGTTGCCAACAAGAAATGATTGGAAAGCTCTGTTCTAGACTGTACAGGACAGATTGAGGCACCACAGTAACAATTGGAATCTATATGTGGAGGACCCCCAAATAAGTTTCTCTTCAAGAGAATGAAGTACACAATCTCTTTCTTTGATGATACTATGTGTAATGCCTTCTATCTAATGGCTTCTTTCCTCTTTGGAAGTTGCTTGACTTCCCTAGTCATAGCCTTCACAAATATCCACCCAAAAACACAGATAACCTGACATGGCTGAAGTGTGTCTCTGACTCTCCTCTCATCAATCTGATGGCTCCTATTTCTCACTTCTCCTCTCAGGCTTTCATACCCAGTATTCCCTCAGATCCGTCTTTCTTGGTACTCATCTTTCTTCTTCCATCTTGCCTCTAGCTCCGTCTTGCTCATCTCCTGAGTTGTCCTCTCCCCCTGGCCTTCCATCTCTTTGAATACTCCAGGCTAATAACTCCCTCTATTTAGAGTGACCAGATACAGACCAAGGACAGAAACCATGACCCTTTCACAAGCAGAAAGGACAATTGTTTTCCTGGAAATGAATGGTGATGCAAGAGCCCTATGTACTTTTGTGACTGGTCACCTTATCCCTCTCTCTAAATTTTTATGTTAAGATATTTTGTAGCCAAACGGACATTTCATTGCCCACCTGTAACATCCAGTATATTGCTAGTGGCTTACACGCATAGGCATTCTGCTTACATTCAGATATATCCCTTTTCAGATTTATTTATTTATCGTATCAGGAGTTACCAAGCAGTTGTATTGTTTTTTTTAAAAAAACAAAACACAAAATTTGAAAATTTGGCATTCTATTAAATGTCCTTTGACCTGTAGCTGGCCACTTGGAGTGCCTCTGGTGTTGCTATGAGACGGTTCTGCATTGTGCATGTGGCAGGGTTCAGGCCGCATTGTAGTAGGTGGTCTGTGGTTTGCTCTTCTCCACACTTGCATGCCATGAACTCCACTGTGTAGCCCCATTTCTTAAGGTTGGCTCTGCATCTTGTGGTGCCAGAGCACAGTCCGTTCAGTGCTTTCCAAGTCACCCAGTCTTATGTGTGCCCAGGAGGGAGTTTCTCATTTGGTATCAGCCATAGATTGAGGTGCTAGGTTTTAGCCTGCCACTTTTGGATTCTCACTTGCTGAGGTGTTCCTGTGAGTATCTTTGTAGATCTTAGAAAATATTTCTTGATTTAAGGCATTGGTGTGCTAGCTGATATCCAAACAGGGGCTGGGCCAGGGATGTCACTGCCTTTCATTATTGGGGGACATGAGAGAAGCCTCGCCGCAGGATTACAAGACATCCGGGCATCCCCTGGGCAACGTCTTCATAGACAGCTGATTATCTCACTCCAGAAGTGACAAGAAGCGACTTGCAGCATGCACGCTTTTCAGATGGGACCCAGGGGATTATTCTTTAACCACTAAACACCACCCAAAAAACATCTCACACTTTATAGGTGTCAAATTCTAGGAGTGTATTGCTACTTCTTGCCAGGGAGCAGTGGGTGGAGCAGGCAGCTGATTTAGGAGATTCAACTGCTCTCAGCTTCTCTACTTCATTCAAGAGTACATCATCATTTCTTCCTCTAACCAACTGAGCTGAGACCAGCTCCTTTTCTAGGGTCCAAGGATCTCAGCCAACGGGTACTCGCTGTCAGCATTATGTAAACTGATATTTATGCTGCACTCTACCTTACTATTTGGAATATACCCATGAACGGGGTCATGAAAGCTTAATCAAAAGTTAGGCAAAAGGCAGTTAATAAGCACATAAAATATGTCATAAGTCACTCAAAATTGGTTTAGGAAAGAGAAAAGATGATTGATCTATGTGCTGATGTCCATTTTGTCTGTGTTTACTATATTTAATCACATCTGCATTTAACCATAAAGGTGATGCTATGTACATTTGCATGACGTATAACCTGCTGATTTAGAAATGTTTCAGTATTCAAAGGGGATCATTAGATTTAGAATAGCCATTATCTATGTGCATATTTAGGAAAGATTGCTTGCGTTACGCACCATAAGTAATTTTCATGCATACATACATATAGGTAGATATTTCCACATATTTTGAAATTAGCATTCATACTAGCTGAAGAAGCTTGCAGCATAGGGTGCGTTTGCAAACAAATGTAAATAAATAACATATGCACTATATTTTGCATTAATGCAAGAACGTCTGCTTTTATTAGTTGCCTAATATGAAGTCGCAATGGTTACATTTATCACATAATACTGCTTAGGAATTATGCATAATAAGAATTACACCACCCATTTCGGTGAAACAAAGTTATACACCCATTGAATGATTGCCCCTAATCCGAACGATAAGGCTGTATTACAGACAATTGAGTGAGAGAACACTCCGCACATACATAAGGATAAGTACAATTCTTATAGGATGAGTAAAATAAAACCGCTGGTTTATTCTGGAGCAGAATATAGTTAGGCTACATCTGGAATGAAAATTATGTCTCCCTTCCTACCTTTTCCTTACATTTCTTAAAATTATGCTAATTAGTCATCAGTGATCTATGCAGAGTTAAGAGTAAATAGTTTCAGACCTCAGGGAGTTGCTAGTATTCTGTGGCTCATTAGATTACAGCATAGACATATGCCCTTATCTAATTGGATTGAGTTCAATTGCTTCACTTCTAGGAAAGACTGAACAGTTTCTTTTCATTTAAAAAATCTGGATTTATCGAAATTTGCAAAAATATCAGGGAGAAGAGAAAAACTTTACAGATTTTCCCATTCTATGATCCATCACCCATTCCTCCAACTTTGACTTTGCCTAACCATTCCTGAAATCCATTGAAACAACTCACAGTGGGCAAAAGAAGCTGGTAGGCAAGAGAACCAATAGTTGTCTACTTCCTGCCCCATTGAAAGATTAAGGAAGGGCTAGAATTTCTGGGCTAAGAGCCCAAAACATTAATTAGATCGGTTTGAAGCCAATTGTGTAAGGTGTGTCTGGATGGGATACACTGATATCCAATTTAAAGCATGTAAATCCTCATGGCTCCTTCCTAAGGAATCCTAGAACTGATTTTTTGATGAAGTGCACTAAAGTTTTCTCTGACAGAGAATTCTTAGGACCTCACCTAAGAATTACCCCAGGATTTCATAGAGTGAAGAAAGTTACCTTAGTTTCATCCTGCCAGGTAAATCTGGTAGGATGAAACAGCTGCACCTCTATGATGTATTTCCAATGTCTTTCTCTTGTGCCCCCCTCCCTCAGCTCCACATACTCCACATCTATTAAAACTATGAGCACAAAGCAGGGAGAGAAGATGTAAAGCTCTCCCTCTCCATGCTGATTTACTGTGTGTAAACCCTTAGTATACTACCAATTGATAATTGACTTTTTTTAATGTATACTTTTTATTGTGCAAGTTTTCTTTTTACATAAACAATAAAACCATAAACGTGAGAACAAGAAGAAAAAGAAAAGTGAGACATACATACAAATAAACCGCACCATCTCTCCCCCCCCCCCCCCCCCCCCCCCAGTGTTGCGACTTCCCATCATCTTCAAAGAGTCCAGTATTGTAGTTGGTGATGTATCTGCTGTTCTGTGATTACCTTTCCGGCGTTACTTCGATATTTGGATCTCCTTCAAATGCTGGATATGTCTATCATAAGTGTCAGCTTCTTTTTTGCTGTAATAAAGTCTTTGAAACCCTCCCAGTTCGTCTTTTTTGATGAGTTGTTCAGGCGTTGCGACAAGCAGTTCATCTGTATTATATCAAATATTTTTAGGATCCAGTCCTCAATTGTTGGAGTATCTTTTTGTTTCCATATTTTGGCTAAAATTATCCTGGCGGCTGTACTTAACAGAAAAAATATCCTATCTTGATTTGCATTAAATTTTGAATAAGAAATGCCCAGAAGATACATTTCAGGTAATGATGGAAAAATGATTTTTAGGATTTTTTGTGTTGCTAAATGTATTTCTCTCCAATATTTCTTAATTTTTTTGCAAGTCCACCATTGGTGGAAGTACGTCCCTATCTTTTTTTGGCATTTCCAACATTTGTTTGATATAGATCTGTTAAATTTGGAGATTTTTTCTGGGTAGTAGTGCCATCTATAGAACATTTTATACCAATTCTCTTTCAGATCATTGGCAACTGTGTATTTTAGTTTCCTGTTCCAAATGTCTTCCCATTGTTTCAGTAGGATACTATGTCCTATGTATTTTGCCCATTTAATCTGGCAGTCTTTGATTTGTTCTTCTTCCGTTTCCCAGCATAGGAGTTGTTTATATAGCAGTTTAATTAGGTTCCTTTCTTTTTGCATGATTACTTTCCAAATTCCTTTTTCCTGGCAAAAGCCCAGCCTTTCATCTATTCTAAAACTTTCATATAATTGGTGATACTGTAACCATGTGAATTTGGGATTTATTTGTTTTATTTCCTCTATTGATTTGATGGTTCATTTTTTCTCATCTGTAACTTTTAAAATTTGCTTATATGTTAGCCAATTTTCACATCCTAATTCCCTTTTGTGTCTTGCTTCTATTGGAGAAATCCATGTTGGTATTTTATTATATAATCTTGACTTGTATTTCTCCCAAGTTTTGATTATAGCGGCCCTTATATAATGGTTGTTAAAATTCTTTTCCACTTTCCTCTTTCTTATCTCAGCAATGAAAGAGCTACTGTTTTTGGCTGGGATCCTCCACTGGGGTTGAAAAGCTCGGATCTCAGAAAGACAGCAGGATGTACTGGTTTGAGTATTGGACCATACCTCTGGTGACCAGGAATCCCTGCTTACCTATGGGAACCCATTGAATACCTGACATACTCTCAGTCATAGAGGAAGGCAAAGGGCTACAGAAGTCTTAAATTGAATGGCAATGTTGAAAAACTGAAAGTGTAATCAAATGTACATAATGTATGGGCAATGGGATGTAAACTAGAATGCACAGCCAGATACACATTTGCATGTACAAAGTCTGCAACCATAAATTAAATGCAGATGTTCTTCATTGGAGAAAGGTATCTAGCTCCTTCCAGAGGGGAGCTAAATTATGCATAAGGCAAAATAATAGATAACACAGTCCAATAAAAAAAATCTTGGTGTCTTGGTTTTTAAGCTGGGGTTATTTGGGATGCTGATTTTTTTTAAAAAAATGATTGGATAGACGACATCAGCTCTAGCTTTTAGATATGGTTATCACGGTTTTCTATGGGAGATCAGGTGGGACTGGATATGGCATATGTTCTGTATCCCAAAAACTAGGGGGAAAGTAGTGCAATATTTGGAATCAGCAGGTCAAATATACCCAGAAACAGGGCTAACATTTTGAAGAACCAAAATGTGTGTTGGTCATTGTAATCTATGCAGGAGCCCCTGGTGGCACAATGGGTTAAACCCTTGCGCTGGCAAGTCTGCTGACTAAAAGGTCGGTGGTTCGAATCCGGGTAGCGGGGTGGGCTCCTGTCTGTCAGCTCCAGCTTCTCATGTGGGTACATGAGAGAAGCTCCCACAAGATGGTAAAACATCCGGGCATCCCCTGGGCAATGTCCTTGAAGACGGACAATTATCTCACACTGAAGCAACTTGCAGTTTCTCAAGTTGCTCCTGATAAGGAAAAAAGTATATGTGCATATGCTGAGGTGCCCCTATATTTATTATATGTGGTTCTTGTATATCGGGTTTACTTAAAGCATTAAATAAAAACCAGATTCCTGGACCGATTCTTGTTGCAACTTGGAAAAGCCTAAAGGGAAAGGAGGACTTTTGTCTTAATTTTCCTCATTTTAGGCTGAGTTCCAGGCAAGGGAATAAAGGAGCCAAGTGTGCCCATAGTGCAGACAATCAGACTCACCAGTTGAGGGTGCTGTTAGATGACAATGCATGCTAGAAGCAAAGCTTGGCCGATCAGGCCCTCAAGAAAGGCCTTGTATCTATCTGGAGTAAAGAGACTCAGGGGGTGGGTATGAAGAGGAGTGTTTATACCACCTTCTTTGCTATGCAGTGCCATTGCAAGATTGTCAGAGCCAATTGGTACAATATATTTACTTTTGGGTTCTTGGCATAAACCATATTGTGTCAACAAGAGCTATATATTGCAGGCTATCCCAGAAGTAAAACATAGGCTCCGCCAGCACAATATGTGCATCTTTGTTGAGAATACTTCAGGCTGCAGGTGGCAAACGCCCAACATTTATGACAGCAAAATACTCAGAAGCAGAGAGAAGGAAGAATTAGTCTTGCTTACTGCCCCTCAAACATGTTGGACTGAGGCTCCTCTCATCCCCGGTGGCCAAGCCGTCTGGCGACAGTGGAACTTTAGACCAAGACATTTCTAGAGGGAACCAAGTTGGGGGAATACTAGATTTAATTTTCTGCAACTAAGAAAAATTGTGGACTGTGTCTCAAATTTATTTTGCGGAGTCGTTGTTTCTTCATGGCAAAGCTAGGAAAATCTGTTAATTTTGCTTTCTCCTATATTCAGATTTTTAAGTTTCAGCTACTTTCTCTCTCAAATAAGTTTCCAAATGTTGGTGGATCACTGAAATAAAAATCTGTAGTTTCCTTAATCAAATTCCATAGATGCAGCTATTTTCCTCACAGAGACAATTATATAAACACATGAAATGTACATATGCTTGATTGTGTTTTAATAATGCCATGCCTAAATTCATTTATTCATGCTATGACATGTTGGAAGATAACAGAGTAAATTATATTTACTTTGGATCTCCTAAGGTGTCCAACATAGTGAACCATATAAAAATGAGGGGAAAAATAATCTTCTGTCGATATATGGTGCCTAAGACAAAAAACAGGGTGCATAAGGTTATTATTGCAGTTAGTTATTTGTAAGATAATTCATTAGCTTTGCAATACAGTTTAAAAACTGAACTTTGGAAACTTGGTCCACACATTGTTGCTTGAATTATTAAAAAATGATTGCTCTATTGAAAAATATGTATTATTCACTGCCTTTTTCCCGCACAGAATTCACAATGCAACTTGCTAGTATTTGAAAAGACAGTGCAATTTTAGTACAAATGTTAAAACACAAAACCACAGTTCTGTTTTTTTTTAAAACCCATGCAAACTAAAAAAAGTTAGAAACAGTTTCAAAACACATTTAAAACATCATTAACTTGGAACACAACAACCTTTACATTAAAAGCTACATCTCCTGAAACAGGTTAAGCAACCAAAAAATGCAAGCAACCATTCAGAATGGCCTTAAGCAAATAACCAGTTTGTTATCACATGAAATGCATACTGTCAAAAATCATAATGAAATGTCATTAGCTTGATACTGATTTGTAAATTTTCATCTTTTGTTACACTGATTATCCCCAGGATTCAATAGGCAATAATAATAATAATAATAAACTTTATTTATATTCCACCCTCTCTCCCCGAGGGGACTCAGGGCGGATAAAGAAGCACATCTGGAAACTAACCTTGTAGGCTCAGTTAAATATTCAAGAAAAAAATTGATTCAGCATGGGAAAAGCCTAGAGGCTGTAGATGTCTCACCTTGGCCACATCCATGTAAAGGCAAGCTTGTCAAACTTGTGGCCCTCCAGATGTTTGGGACTTCAGCTCCCAGAAACCCTAGCCAGTTTGTCCAATTGTAAGGATTTCTGGAAGCTGAAGTCCAAAACTCCTGGAAGGCCACAAATTTGACACTACTGGTGTAAGACTTACTTCTATAATAGTGCAAGATATGTCTTGGGCTTGCTTAACAGTTTTCACAACGGATGCAGCCAGATACAGATGAAAAGAAAAATAGGTTATTCAAGAAGATTTGTTAAGAAGCACCAGTTCCCAAAATGCCCCTTCTACTCACCTCTTGAATGTATTGAGGTTCTGAATTCCTTTTGATCTAGTCACCCTCTTGAATTGACAGGAACATCTCTTCACCTGCTTTGGCAGCCCTTGTGCTGTTCATAAATATTTTCAACTGTAATTGATTGGGTTATATAAAACATTTTCCCCACCCTCTCTGTTTTATAGGATGTTTGGAGAATTCACAACCCCTATTAACATTTGTGGTGGTGATTGCCTAACTATGGATGCTTATGATACCACATTCTTCTCCTGTAGATTGCAGGGCTGGGGAACTCTTTTCCTGCACAGGGCTGCTTTTCCTCATGAGCAATTTTTCAGGGAGTGGCTGGCAGCAGGAGATGCCAAAGCTAAAAGTGGATCGCTTTTCTTTTTCTTGCACACCCTCTCCTATCTCTGCACAGTAGTTGATACTCTTCACTTTTACTAGAAGAGTCATTTGGAGAGGCCCTGCTCTTGGTCCCACCGGCCTCGCAAGCGCGTCTGGTGGGGACGAAGGACAGGGCCTTCTCGGTGGTGGCCCCTCGACTCTGGAACTCTCTCCCACTGGAGATCAGAACCGCCCCTTCTATCCTGACATTTAGGAAACAGGTGAAGACTTGGTTATGGAGACAGGCATTCGACGAGTGAGCCAACACCCTGAGATATGGATGGAGGATGATGAGCAACGATTTTAGTGTGACGACTGACCATTATAGTTATTGATTGTAATTGCTGTTTTAATGTTTTACTGTAATATGTATTATGATGTTTTATTGATTGTATGTGATATTATGGTTGGAAACCGGTCTGAGTCCCTCAAGAGAGGTGAGAAGGTTGGTATACAAAACTTTTAAATAAATAAATAAATAAATAAAATAAGCCTGATGTGATACTTTGTAATGGGCTCTTGAACACAGGGTCATAGGTATTTCTTGGTCCTTATACCATATCTCTCGTCAATAGAGTTTATATTCCCTTCCTTTTCAATTCATGTCTTTAAAGATCAGACCAGAGGAATTTAGCGTCCTAGGCTGCTTTCACCTCAGCTAATGGACACAGACCGATGTTGGCTATCACACAACATTGTGTGATTTCTGACGGAGGCCCCTCACCCAACTGGGGTGAAATCATCAATGGACGTCTTCCCTAGAGACTTCCTGTATTGTGCTGGCCATTGTGGTCTCTTCCAACTCTGGGATTCTATTATTCGATTACTGTATTAGAATGTCTAAAACTAGTAATAAAGTAGTTGTTGTAGTAAACAGTAACATCTAAAAAGTGTGAATCAGTGAAATACAGTTATTCTCATGAATATCTACTCTATGGAAAAACAAGGAAGGTGTGTTTTTGGTGTTGATCTGCAAGGCAGAGAAGATATTGCATATACTTATGTATACATTTAGAAATTTTAAACAACCGATCTTCCCAAATAGTGCTAATTTATCTATAGGTCAATGTAATGCTGTACCTTAACTTTTATTAAGGAAGGAAACATCCCCTTCTCTGAGTAGAGTGGCAAAAGGCAAGAACTTACACATTCACTGGGCTTCGTCTGATGACTCTTGCAAGACAGAGCCAGGAGGAGCCCATTGGAAGTAGCCCTGCGACATGTGCTGGACTCCATCAGGCTCGGTCATGGCTCTATCCTGCAAACATCATAGAACGGAGCTGAAGATCAATGTGATGAGGTCCTTAGTCATTGCAGGAGAGAACTGTGTGCCATGCAATGTTCTCTCTGCATCCTAACATGCCCAGCTACTTCAAGTGTTCTGAAGACTGCTCTTCCATTGCCTAGATTGAAGAATGATTGTACTGTCAGTCCAGCTAACTTGTAAACAAAGAATGAGGTGGAGTGCTATGTGTGCATTGCCTTAGGCAGTGAAACATTCAGCAATTAAACTATATTGGCAAGGATCTTTCTTATGGCATGGAGAATAAAATGTTCTGTATGCGAAGCTTTGTAATATCCCTTTGCTAAATCCCAGAGGCAGGGAAGTGACTGAGAAAGAGGATTGCAGCCAACCCTAGCTTATAGTTTGTCAGCTAGGAGTGCACAAACTGTTTCCCCCCCTCTATTTGGAGAGCTTCAGGTGGGATGGAGCACAGTCCTGTTAACTAGTCACCTCACTGTCACCTCCCCTTGCCAATAAATATCTGTAGCAGCCATTCCACAGATGTGCTTTTGAATGGTGCAGAGGGTGAATATCCCCTTGTACTTCATCCTAAGCAAGACATATAGAGGTGTAACGATGGTGGGATTTCAACTATTGCTCACAGCCCAACTAAGACTGGGAATTAGAACTCTTGTGTTTCTGGCTATACTTTTATGGAGAAAGTGGCTGTGTGCATCAAATTTTTTGCTACTGGAGTAGATCAGAATATCTAGGATGCACAGAAAGTGATAAATACCAACTTCATTCCTATTCTAGACAGTAGCCTGGGAGATACAGATTTAACTAATTTGACTAATTTATGAGGACATAAACATTTCCAGTAAGCATGCAAAGAATGAGGAAGTACTTCATCAGTGTCACAAATGGACGGTGAAGTGGCAGCTCCCCTGGTGGCCAGAATACCCTCAGGAAAAAAAAACTGGATTGTTAAATAGCCTCTTAGTGTCTGTCTATATATGCTGTGTGTCTATGACATTGAATGTTTGCCGTGTATATGCACATTGTAATCCTCCCTGAGTTCCCTGCGGGTTGAGAAGGGCGGAATATAAATACTGTAAATAAATAAATATGGATAAAGTTGGTTAAAATCAATTTTTACCAAGACCACTTTCATCCATTGTCCTGAAGTGAATCCATGTCTCTAGGTCTTAGATGCAATATACATATTGCAAAACACATTCTTTTTTTCTTTTTTAATTTTTGCCCTGACCTACATGCAAGCTAAACTTTCTGTGTGAATCTCCTGGGAGAAAGAGGATTGTGGAATAAAGTCTTCTCCAGCAAACATACACGCCCTTAGGAAGATTTGGACATACTGCCTTTGAAGTAAAAGCCTGATTTGTTAATGATAAGATTTGTGGTAGCCACAACCTAAGTATGGTACACATCAATAAGATGCATTGCAAGGGGCCCCAGGACACACTTATTGCCTTCTTGTGCCAAACCGCTGGAGTGAGAACTCCCTAGAACAACTGTTGAAATGTTGCTTTGGTCTGTTTTCTTCTGTTGTAAACCTCCAAACTGCTGAGAACAAGAAGCTGAAGTAGTTACCCAGAGAATCATAAGACAGGAGATCAAAATAGATTGGCCCTTCATCAAAAAATCTCATCCCTTTGCAGGAGGGGTGGACAACAACCAATTTAGTAGGGGTAGCTAAAACCTTGGGTAATACAACAAGGACCTTCCCCACAGTGGGAGCATTTCAACTATGGAATAACTGCCTTTGACGATGGTGGGATCTCCATTTTTGGATATCTTCTTCAAACAGAAGTTGAATAGACGTCTCTTGGGAGTGCTTTGTTTGTGTATTCCTGCATGGCAGGGATTTGGATACAACTCTGCCTAGCAAATAGGTCAGCTTTTTAATTAGCTTCTGTAACCATCTTTGATAGAGCAGATCTGTGGAAATTAGCTCTTTATGGCTGTGATTCTACAATGGGGTGGTACAGCATAAAACAGTGATGGAGTTACCACCCATGTAGTGGATGGGGATATTGAGCAACCCATTATATATTTGAAATTACACTGATGCACAGTCCCATTATGCAACAGCAAATGCTCACTTCAAGGAGGGAGACAGAAACCTTACAGACTGGAGTCCTTAATCCATGACGGTTTCTTCCTCAATCCATGATAGTTCTTAATCCATCACTTATCGATTCATGATAGCTTAAAAAGTGCAAATGCTTGTCCAACAATTATACATGATGAATTCCACTTGTACAACCATAACATATGTCCATTGGGAAATGACTAAAACAATATAGTCACCTGCCTTTGGGAACATATGCAAGCCTATGTCATCTATAGGATGCTAGTTGTGTTGCTAATGCTCTCCATGCTATGGCTCAATTACATAACCTTAGATGCTGGATTGAATGGTTTCTTAGAGGCCCTCCCCTTTAAGATATAATGGTAAGACTGCATTTGGAATCCACCATGTTTAGTTATCTAAATGAGGTCTTGGATGTTTCCTGCAAAGATGAAGGTATTTCTGGCAGTGAAAAACTTCTTGTCACCCAATACCCAAAATAATAAGACCACACAACAATATGGGTTTAACCATGGGTAACTTTTATTAATGTTGCTTATTTAACATTTTGTGTCTTGCAAAACATTTCTAAAATGGGGTGTGAACTTGGTGTGGATTAAGCTGAGGTAATGATCATCTAAGACCTACTCCTTGGCTCACTTGGGTGAAACATCTGGGTCCCCGGATGTAATAAACTCTACTGTTTCCAGAGTAACCAATCAGGAGAACATGGAGAATTCTGACCCAACTCAGTAGGATTTATTGAGGCTAGAACTCTTCCTGCTCCAAGGCCATTTCCATTCGCCCTCACTTTGGTTATGTAAATCACGGGTGAGAGTTTCCGTTCCTGGCCTACATCAAAAGGGGTACCTTAAGTGTCTACCAAAGTGTAAATCAATAGCTTTATTCCACAGCAAGGCCTATTTAAAATCCACAATCCCAATCTGCCTTTTGAAAACAGTATAGGGTAGATTACCCCCTAGAGGAGAAATAAATACTACCTGCCCTCAGAGGCAGCCAAATAATTATACTGCTGGGGCAGGCCCGTAGCCAGAATTTCAATTGGGGGGGGGATGAGTTTGTTTCGGGGGGGGGGGGAGTGAAAGAGGGTCTACCCTAGCAAACCTTTTGTATCATTACCCCAATACCCCCATGCATATGGGATATATTGAGTATGGTGATCAGATCATGATATGAATAAACATAACAGTTTAAATAATGCACCAGTAAGGCCTTTTCGCGACCACCATGAGAATTTGGGGGGGGGGTGAAGCCCCTCAAGCCCCCCCCCTGGCTACCTCTCCACCAAAGTCAACATCGATGCTGAAATACAACACCGCTTGAGCTCTGCAAGTGCAGCATTTTCCAGAATGAAGCAGAGAGTGTTTGAGGACCGGGACATCCGTAGGGATATCAAGGTGCTTGTCTATAAAGCTATTGTCCTCCCAACCCTGCTATATGCCTGCGAAACGTGGACTGTCTACAGACGTCACATGCAACTCCTGGAACGATTCCATCAGCGCTGCCTCCGGAAAATCCTGCAAATCTCTTGGGAAGACAAGCGGACAAACG